ACGAGGCAAAGGAGTCTTGGGTTTTGACTTATGCAACACTATGCATTTTGTCACGTAGGAACTGGTCATTTTCACCTGGATAAAACCTCACGTCTCATTTTATGCACATTCACATATAAGCCATAGGGGAGGACTGATGGCCAGTGTTTGTTTGTCTTATTTGTACATTAATGTACAACAATTTTCTTTTTGTAGACAGAAGATGCAAGAACTGTGACATGTTTCAACCAAGAGAACTCTTTGGTCGAGAATGGTTGTCTGTTTCAATTCGAGTTCTGAGTTTTCGATCTTTATGAGGAGGTGTGCGTGATTCGTGTAGAAATTAGTTTGTATTCACGATCACATTCTCACAATCAAGCCAATGTACAACTGGCATGAAGAAAGCGCAAACACACAATGATATGGAGTGTGCTATGATATACAAATGTACCTAAACAAGGGGAAGAGTTAGGGATCTCCTACAGTAACTTGGGTATAATTTTAAGTTAGGTAACTTGCATAGATCTAAACCGTTAAAATCGATCAAATTTATTTTAAACCATTGATTAAAGAAATAAAAAAAAAATAAGTAAAAAAAAAATCAATGGCAACATGGGTTGCCGGTGGCCACAAAGCAAGTTACCTTTCTTGTTTTTTTTTTCTTTCCTTTTTCATATTTATTTGTTTTTTCTTATTTTATCCTTTCCTTATTTTAATTCTGGTTAAAGTAGAAGCGTTACGAAAGACTTCCGTAATAACTTAGCACCTTACGTAACGTGAGATTAATACTCATTACGTAAAGAGACCTTCCATTACGTAAAGGTTACGGAACGATAGTTATTTCTTACGTAACAGTGAAATCGAAAGCGTTACGTAAAGCTTCCGTAATCACTTAGCTTTTTACGTAACACGACATTAATACTCATTACGTAAAGAGACCTTCAATTACGTAAGGCTTCCGCAATGACATTTTACAACTGTTACGTAAAATACACATTCATTACGTAAAGCTTACGTAATGACTTAACATTTTACGTAACACGAGGTTAATACTCATTACGTAAAAAGACCTTTCATTACGTAAAGGTTACGGAACGACAGTTATTTCTTACGTAAAAGTTAAATCAGTAGGTTACGTAAGGCTTCCGTAATGACTTAGCATTTTACGTAACGCGAGATTAATACTCATTACGTAAAGACACATTATATTACGTAAGACTTCCGTAATGATCTTTTACAACTGTTACGTAAGATTACCATATGTTACGTAACCGTTACGTAATACCTATTATATTTTACGTAATGCGACCTGTGAAACCTGCTATAGCAGGTAAAAAAATTCAAGTTACCTTACTTCAAGTTATTGTAGGAAATCCCGGAAGAGTTATAATGACAATGCTTCACACGAAGATTTTACTTTTATGCATGGAAGAAGAGCTTGTACTCCTTTTCGAGCTCTCGATCATTACCCCTCGATAATGTTCACATATGTGCCTAGTAAATCATAGAATTGTGATTCGAGTCGATGTAATATAATCCTGCTAACATTTCCAACATGAACGTTATCATAAATAAATAAACAAATATTTGGGGAGCCACTAAGTGCAATATATAATTGCAATAATGAAAGATCATCAAATAAAAAGGCCGTCGATTCCAAAGTGGTGTTCCTTCCTTTCCTTGATGGGGTCGGGCGACAACACATACTCTTGTAACCCCTCAATGATTAATCAGTCTGCAATTATTAAAATAAAACACATATCACTTTCTCACTCTGGAATTTGATTTGATTAATGGTGTCGGTTTGGGTGTGTTAATCAACTCCTTTAATTACTTTATTTTCCATTCCCACGCCGTCATTATAAAGACACCAATTATTATTCTTTTCCCCCCTCCTATGATCAATTAGATCATATATTTTTCCAAGTGTGGGCAAATATTATTTAATTTTCGAAGTATTATAACTTTACTTGATATCGGTTATAATCGTATTATTTGTTCAAATGAAAAGCAAAATCCTTTCTCTCAGTCTTAAGTAGTACATATGAAAAAGTGATGTCCGAAGATCTAAATACATATGATAAGCCTATGAGATCCCGACTGGGCACCCGAATCACTCACTTCTATCTAATTGGATCACATTAGGTACTAAGAAAATAATTTGTCTCTTAATCAAGTCCTTATGGTATGGTTAATAGGTAATAATATATAAAAGTGGGGGTTTCTTTTTTCCTTCTCCAAAGAACAAATGTCAAAAGTACCTTGCTAGTTACTACTCATGTATAGGTAGTGGTTGATAAAGAAGTGAAATCCCTTTTAGTTGTAGTATATAAGGAGAGAATTTATTTTAAAAAAATAAACAAGGAGAGAATTTATTCATTGCCACAAACACAAGCAAGCATTTTGACTCTCATTCCTATTTGGATCCCATATCCAATAGTATTTCTAGTGGATGGTTGGGCAAACAAAGTTTCTATAAATTACCTCACATGTTATTATTAGATCACCCGTTTGGGATTTGTGACTTTGGCGATGAAAGATGCATGAAAATATATTGGTGAAGTAAGAGGAGAAAATAAGGGCTTGGACTTCCCGTGTGATGAAGCAAATTCATACTTCATAGGGTCCCTTTTAAGTAAATATGGTTAGAGGGTGTAAAGGGAAACACCATTGAGTACCCTTTAACACTAAAGCATAGCAAGTTCAATCATAAACATCATTTACTACTAAGTATTCATTAGAAAGAAAGAAGGGTAGGAGGAAATAAACATACTTCTAACTAGTTTAAATGATTCTATGACAGAGTCGTCTTAGTTTCAAGATTCTTGGTTTAAATTGGACAATCAACTTCGTGCTTATTTTATTCTTCCACATTGCATAAGCTATATTTATGATAAGAGGAGGGGGGGGGGGGGCATGCAAGAGAAAAACTCCAAGCTCTATATTAAAACTATCGACAAAGTCACAAAGTACGGGTTAGTTACATCGATGACTCAGATTCGATCATGATATGATCTCAAATCCATCACCCTACAAGTTCCAATTCATCACTCCAAGATCGGATCAAGTTGATGGGAAACAAGCTGAAAAATTTCTAAGTGTTGGAACAGTTCTAGGAAGGCTACTTTGGAGGGATGTTTCATCCAAATGATTCATTGAAAATGCAGGGTTAGTGAATTGTTTTAAAGCCTGGATGTTCCTCTACAACTTAGTGTTCTTCGAGCTGCTCAAAATCATATCCTGCAATATGAAAACTGTCTGATTTGGGCAAAAGGCAGAAACTGAGTTTCGGGTACCTACTTTGGAGCAACATTTGTGGAGTTCGCGGTACAACCAACTGGTGATTCGAGTTGGGAATAGAAGAGTGCAACTTTCTAAACCCAGAGAAGGGATTGGCTGACCTCGACTCGAAATGGAAGGCTATTTTTCCAGGAGCTTGAAGATGGAATGAAGGTTGTTTCCTGGCAGCTTACTTGGTGAAGAAGATTGTTGTTTGGTTGACAAGTTTCATTGTTTGATCGAATTCCTTTCATTGTTTAACTTGAATTTGTTTCATTGTTCAATTAGGATTATGTTAGGTTGTTTCGTGGCTATAAATAGCCTCTTTCATTGATTGTAAGAGACATTTTTGAGTTTAATCGAAAATTACTCCGAGGAGTTTTCCCCCGCTTGCGAGCTAGGTTTGTTCTTGGTTTTTGGCCAAGGATTGCATATCAATCAAGCCAAGTATTCACCTTGATTGATTGGTGAATCTACCCACATTAGCCTCCTCCCCTTTGTGTTGAGGTTGCTGACCTGGTTCCCTCTACTTTCCATCGATTCCACGCTCTGTTTTTACTACGAGATCACTACCATCACGACTCCTTTGTTTCCCGCTGCGAGATTCTGAAATGAGTTCCCATCCTTGGGCTCATCAGATCAGTATGCCAAAATCATCAAAATGAAGAAAAGAAAATATCATATACACCCTATAACAAGCTATATATCATGGGGATGGATTAAGGTGATTTTGGACAATCATCTAGGTTAAAGGGGTCAAGTATGCGTTGAAATATATCGTTGCTATCAGAATTTATGTTATGTTTTTTGAATTGGCTTTCAATTTCGACAACTTTAACTTAGACCTTTTTTGTTTTTGACGAAGATGGACTGAATGACCATGTTGTGAGTGAGACCATGTCTTTAGTTCTTCCAAACTATAGTGATAAATTTGCTTAAAACGTACAGTTCAATGACTACTATTGTAATTAATCCCACAAAGACAAAGCAGCAGGCCTTCCACTCAGGCACGACACAAAGCTCCCAAATATGTTCCCAAAATGCCAAACAAGCCCTGAAATTACTGAATTTGTCTTTGAGCCCCTTCTGTTGCTTGTATAACTCGCCAAATAAAAATAGCACAATGGGATTAAAATACAGAAACCAATTTAACCAACAGGCAGCAGAACCGAAAGGTTGACTGCAATGAAAGAATCTTTGCGCTTCCATGGCGCCAACGTTTGTACTAGCTCTCTGCCTCGATCTCTTACTGCACAAAGAACGCGCCTTTTTCTGACACACACACAGAAAAACATAAAACAAACATCCCCAAAATAAAAAGTTCATTCCTTTCGATCTACACGAGAGCTTTCCTTTATAGACAATTCCTACACCATATATATAATTTCTTCTTTTTTCTCTTTTTCTTCCATCCCCATCTTTTAATTCCTTCCCTCCATCTCCTTCCAACCATTTTTGCAGGCTGTAATTTGGAAGGAGAAAACAAATTGGTTTTTCTTTAAAGCCTTAGTTACTCCGTTTTTTCCCCCCTGGGATTCTGCCACCCCTGGCTCAAGGAGACAATCCTTGACCTGGGTTTTGTTCCCTTGTTCTTGATGATAATCAATCTGGGGAAGAAATTGGTTTGAATGGGGATTTACTGTATGAGCTGAAATTTTCTTGAATGGGTGTGCTGTGATTTCTTCATAATTTCCAGTGTGGAGGAAGGGAAAGGCTTGTAAGAGCTTTTGGGCGTGTAGGGATTTCCCCGATTCTTCCCTTGCGGATTGGAGAAGTTTTGATTCTTAGGTAAAAAACTTTACCTGGGCTTTTCTTTTTGGGTGCGGCTGTTTGTCTGATTCTCTGAGGTGAAAAAGTCTGGTTCTTTATGTAAAAGGATGTCATTTCTTGGTTTGTAGTATTTGCTTTGTTGTTTGTTATGGTGGGTTTCTCGGAGTTCACGAGATAGAGGGAAAGGGAGAGGGAGAGGGAGAGGGAGAGGGAGAGGGAGAGGGGATTGTTGCTTTTCCACTAACGTATATAAATTCGGGTCGGGTCACAATCCCAGATTCCATAATTCATCGCTTTCTTCCTTCCATTCTGCCACTTTGAGCAGTTAGAGCTCCAGAGTAAATAGAGACAGAAGGAAAGAGTGGTTTGTAGTTTTGTTAGGACTTAGGACTCTCTCTCTCTTTTCTCAAATTCACTTGTGGGAGGATTTGGAGAATCCATCAGGGAAAAGAAGGGGCAGTGAGATTCTGGTTGCAGGCGGAAAAGGCCCCCAATTGTCTGCAGATTTCACTGAATTTGGGATTTGATTTTTGGTATATGGGAGAAAAGAACAGTTCTTTCTTTCGTTGTTTATTCTCTCTGGGTTTCCTTTTCCTGATCTTCTGGTGTCTTTTCATGAATGAATGTGTAAACAGTTGAATTCTGTGTGTGTTGAAGCCCAGGTGGGGGAAGAAGAAGGGGGAATTCTGTTGTTTTTTGTGACAATGAAGTTTCTGAGCCTGGTGGGGAATTCATTTGGCTGTTCAGCATCTGGGGAAAGATTAGTTTCAGCTGCCAGAGATGGTGATCTTCAGGAAGCTAAAGCCTTGCTTGATTGGAATCCAAGGCTAGCCAGATACTCTACTTTTGGAGTCAGGAATTCCCCTCTTCATTACTCTGCAGCTCAAGGGCACCATGAGGTATAGAAGAAGAAACAAATTCATTCTTCGATCATTGATTCATTTGGCGAAAGAAAGGTCATTTGCATTGTTTCCTTTTCCTCGCAGATAGTTTCACTATTGCTCGAGTCTGGTGTTGATATCAACCTGAGAAACTACCGTGGCCAGGTAAAATTATGGTAAATTGAGTCTTTTGTTATTGTTTAATGGAATTTGATGAGATCTTCAATAATGGTAAGTTTGATTGTTTGGTATTGAGTGAACAGACTGCACTGATGCAAGCTTGCCAGCATGGCCATTGGGAAGTTGTTCTGACTCTGATCCTCTTTCGAGCTAATGTGAGCGGGTATTTTGGGTTTTACTTTGTATTACTGTGTTGATTATTGGATATGAACATTTGTAAAATCGAGTACTCGAACTCCAGATTCACAGAGCGGATTATCTGAATGGTGGTACGGCTCTACATTTGGCTAGCTTGAATGGTCACACGAGATGCATACGCCTGCTTCTCACTGATTACATCCCGAGCATTCCCTATTGTTGGGAGCTGTTGAGGAGCAGCAACGAATCGTCGCAGAAGGAGTTGATCTCCGAATTCGATGAAGGGTAGAGACCGCTTCCTTTTACTTAAGCTCTTTTGAATTGCCGCGCTTTCGCTTCCTTGTGAATTGTGTTTTTTCAATCATGTTGACCTTTGGTGAACTATGCATCAGTGCCCTCCATGAGGTTATCAACAAACCTGCTGATGGGGGAATCACAGCTCTGCACATGGCTGCACTAAATGGACACGTAGAAACTGTTCAGTTGCTTCTGGATTTGGGAGCTTCTGTCTCTGAAGTCACCGTGGAAGATGGGACCACCATTGATCTGATAGGTAATTACGATGGAAAAGCTGTCGAATCAAGTCATAGTTCTTCTGTTTGATCCATGTTTGAATGCAACTAGATGGTTTCAAATCTAAATCTTCTAGCTACGTGCTCTTATTGGTCTTGGTTTATGAGAATTCTTAGAATATGAGTTCATTCTAAGCTGCATTTTTATGCCAATTTATTACTTGTAGCTTTCTTCACAATCAAGTTAAGAGTTTGATGATCTGCAGGAGCTGGAAGCACACCTCTCCATTACGCTGCTTGTGGTGGAAACTTACAATGCTGCCAAGTACGTGTTGATATGAAAACCCTCAGCTTATCACAATATAATGTATGTTGGAGAAGGTTCTAACATGTTTTGCTAAAATTTATTTTCAGATGTTGATTTCCAAGGGTGCCTGTCTTGATGCTGAAAATGCAAATGGGTAAAGATCTCTATAGCTCGATCAATGTATGTTCTAAATAGTAAGAAAAGCAGTTGAGTTAACCTGCATTCTGTTTTCCTCTGCTTTCAAGATGGACTGCTTTGATGGTTGCTAGATCATGGCATAGAAATGAGCTCGAGGAAATTCTCAGTAGCCAACCTGCAGAGCAACATCAGCAGCAGATGTGTCCTTATCTCTCGCTCCCTCTCATGAGCATTGTTAAAATTGCCCGGTACGTGGATCAAGCTGATATTATATGATGATGGTGATGCAAATTTATTAGTGTTTCGAAGAGCTCAGAATCCTATTGTTCTCTTGTTTCTCCTCAGGGAATGTGGGTGGCGGAACAATGATCTCCTTCCTTCTTGCCAGGACCCATGTGTTGTATGCCTCGAAGCAAGGTGCACTGTTGCCGCAGAAGGTACAAAGTTTCCAAATTATTAAACATGAACCTCACTCGACTATGCACATTGGTCGATCGGCATCTCAAAGAGCTCAGAATCCTAATTTTCTCTGGTTTTGCAGGATGCAACCACGAGTTCTGTACTCGTTGTGCATTGTACCTATGTTCAACAATCTGCACCTCAATGGCTTCCCAAGGTCCCCCGGGCTCAATTCCATGCCCATTATGCCGCCATGGGATAGTCTCCTTTGCCAAGCTCCCTGGAACAAAGGCAGCCCTAAAGTCCATGGGACACAGAACAACCTTGTCACTCCCATTCTGTGCTTGTTCATCGGAGGACCTAGAACCAAGTTTGCTGAATGCGCCATTGTGCAAACCAGACTTCCAGTGCACGAGGTCATCCTCATTCCGGTCATTAAGCTGCCAAAAGTTCCCCTCGATGAAGTTCAACACCAGCAGGTGCATTGGTTCACAAGACACAGATTCATCGTTGATTCCTTCCTCTGTTGATCCAAGCATCAGGGAGCAGCTAGTGAGGTGCTCAAGGTCGAGGCTCAGGGGATCAGGTTCTAACCACGAGCGAAGGAGGTCCTGGATGTCGACGCTGAATCAGTATGTCACCATAGGGAGTGGTTGCTGACCCAAAAGGTCTTCATATGGATCACCTTTTTGTGCCAATTTTTGCCTATGGTGCTGAATCAATTTTTCTTTTTTTCGCTTGTTTAGAATGTGACACTCTTGAGGGATTACTGTAAATATCAGAAAGAGAGAGAAGTGAAAGAAAGAAGTTGCAGAGAATGGAATATTTGTGGTACTTTAAGCTTGATTCCTCAATGTACATAAGAAAGAAAGAAACACAACACACCCATAATCATACTACATGTAACTTTTGTTAAAGGTCTTATGTTTAAGCTGCTTCTTGTGGCTGATATATTAATCCATGAAACTGAATTCCCCCATTTCTTCAGTTTCTCTACATGGGATTTCCAGAAAGTTTTTATCTTTGGTCTTTACAGGCACTTCTATGGAGATTGTTACCACTGTGAACTTCAATAGTGCTGATGAAAGTGTAGAACAGTATACAAAATACAGACTGAAGCCACCATTAGTAGACCAGAACCATTAAACAAAACCGAGCAGATAGGATTATCATAACTGCAACTTACAAACAATTAGTTCAATCTCTGTTTTATTAGAGAGAATGATAATTACATTTCCAACTAGCCAATGAAGGCTCAAGCTCAAGAGGGAAAGCCAAGGTGAAAAAACTTGATACATGTACTAATGAAGTAAACAAAAAAACTAACTTACTAAATGTAATTAAAAATGAAAATACTAAAATAAGATATCTACAAAGTCTTGCAAGGTCAAGAAAACAAAATGAGAAAACGTAAAAAAATTGAAAGGAAAACGACTGATGCACATGGTTAAAACATAAGCTCGATCAGGATAGCGTCGGTGTTAGGACTACATAGTCGTTCTCAACCTCCAGTACTTGAAGTTCGATGGAGGGAGGATACAGACATCATGGGACGAGGTGCATGAATGAACAGCTGAAAGAGCCATTGACAGGTTGTTTTTGGAGTTAATTCTGTTCCAGGAAGATGGGACTGGAAGTGAGAGAAAGGAAGCAAGCAGGGTGTGAAGAAGATGAAGGAGGAAGAAGATGAGACAGAGGTGAATGAAATAGGAAGGTGAGGGAATGGAGTGAAGTGATATAAGAGGGAAATTGCAGATGGTTTGTGAAGGGATGTATGGAGTTTATATAGAGGAAAATGGCAGAGACTAGAGAGAGGTATATATTGTTTTTGGGGGTTTTTTTATTGAAAGAGGTAAATGTGGAAATCTGGAAAAGTTACTGACATTCCCAAAATATGTTTATGGTTCTCAATACAGTTAATCTAATTGTTCATTATTCATTAGCTTAACAGTGACATTACTCTCATCAATACAACAATGGATGAACATTGGAATATTTGAGTCTTAATGATCAAACTTGATGTTGTATACAATATATTTGACGTAGTCCTGGCGTTGGGGTGTGTAATACGATATATAGAAAGGGGGAACAAATAGACGAATAAAGACAGATATAACAAGCAATGTAGGTAGGGGTGGGCAACGGGACGGGACGGGATACCCGTCCCATTTTAAACGGGTACCCAGTCCCATTTGGAGATCAAAGTCCATCCCATATCCCAAACCCATATGGGAAACGGGTACCCATTACCCGTGCGGGACGGATAACGGGTACCCATACTACCCATAAATACCCAAAGTTTAAACCACTAAAATTTTAACAAAAGTTTAAACTTAACTTGTATTTGCTTAACAATCACAAGACACAAAATACATCCCAATCACAAATACTTGGTTTGCAAATTACACATTCATGAACAATCACAACACATAGAAATAAATCATTCAAAGTACCAAATTATAAAAAAAAGTTTCATTCAACACATCCCAACTCTCTCTACTAATTCCCAAACATGTCAGTGAAAGAGTGAAAGGGTAAGGGCCCAAATGGAATTGAAATTGAAAGGGTAAGGGCCCAAATGGCCAATGGGTTTTGAATTGGGTTGGGCTGAATTAAATTTCTGCATTTGTATTGAATGGGTATAACGGGTACCCATATTACCCAAACGGGTATTTGCGGGTAACCCGCGGGTACCCATATTAGGAATGTTCAATCCCAAGTCCCATCCGTTTATAATATTACGGGTAATATGGGTACCCGTAACCCTTAAAAAATGGGACGGGTACGGGTATACCCAAATACCCGTTTCCCGTTGCCCACCCCTAAATGTAGGCACAAGGGACACAAAGGTTATTAGTGAGCAAAACACATGTGAATAGTAAGAGAAAACTACTCAGATAATTGGACATCTTTCTAATCGAACAATATTGCACTATAAAGTCATAATCTTTGTATCGAGTTCTCTTTTGAGTAGTTACGAATTATATGCATTACTTCCTCACGTCCTCTTTCTTTTCGCTGTGGTTTCAGTTATTATATTTAACGTTCAAACCCATCACTATAATAAACCAGATAGATTAAATCGAATCCATAATTCTCAAACAACTTACATTCGAGACCTCTAAACACTATGGTTCAACTCTCTCATTGCTAACCAAAGAACATTTTTAGGCCAAGCAAAAACATAAAGCTCATACATGCATGCATAGAATTCGTTTTCCTATTTTCCCACATACTAGAAAAAACAAAAGAAAAAGGCTAAAACCCAATTCCACAAATGACAAGAATTCGAACTTGGTCTCTCTCTCTACTCTTTTGGTCATTCTCTCTCCCTCTGCTCATCCCTTTAATTCCCATCCCTCTCTCTCTCTCTCTCTCTCTCTCTCTCTACAGTCTCTGACTTAGTGAGAAGTCTAGGGTTATACAGAGGAGAGGAACCCAATAAGCTAAAGAGGGAGGGAAGAAGGAAGGTAGGAAGGTAAGGAAGAAGATTATCATGAGAAAGGTGTAATGTGACTTAACACCACCATCTCTATGATTCTATTCTCTCTCCCAAGTAAGTACTCATCTGTTGTCTGTGGATGATCAGAACATAGTATCTTTTACCCTCTCATTTACGCAAAGATTGGGGACTCAGACTCTGCAAATCTCTTTCCAAAAACTTTCACACTGTCAAGCAGTGAACAGCATTAAAAAGAGACAGAGAAGTGCCTCAGGAGGAGGAGGAAGAAGAAGAATATGTTGAGATGGTGCATGTGGAAGTACAAAGTTAACTATCAATTGGTAGCTATTATTGTACAACAATATATTTTGATAAGTGAAAGCTGTAGTATATACTATAGTACTATACATTGTCTTTGACCAATCCTTGTATATATATACACCTTTTTACCACCCTGTAAAATCCTATAAAATTTTAACTTTGAGACCAAACCTTTTTTAACTATTGCTGAGTGTGTGGAGAATTGTTTATCCCCATAACTCGAATTCATGTGAGACGATGGTACTCGTATTTTGTACGGAATGAACTCTTAATACGCAAGATTGCGAGATTTATCAGTCAATAAAGTTCCAATACCAATTTCGGGAACTCTCAACACAACTCAATTTTTCTATAGGAGATATTCAAGAACAATGAATCACAAGTGCATAAATGGTAGCTCAAAAGTACTATTTGATGCGATTCGAACCTTCATCATCATAAACATTTTTAACAATTTTGAAAGTTTGTGACATTGCATGATTAGTTTGATCAGTTGTGTATCCAAAGTCGTATTAGCATGATTGTATTGTTGTGTTTTTTAACGAGTTTGCCATTAAATCTCGAGCGATTAGCATCACCGGCGTCAATGCAGTTTTCACAAGCAAATCATACATCGTCCACAAAGTGATCCATGTGAATTCAATCTTGTTGGATTCTTTCACCATGCATATGTAGATGATCAACTCCTTTCTCCCTCATTTGGCACCCTGCTGCATTATTATAGCAATGCTGTCTCTGTCACACTCACACTACCATAACCTTTGAGCTTGTTTTTAGCCAAGTTTTACCTAAAATGTAAGACGATAGTTCCATGCAAAAGGGCATATTTTGGAGCAAAGCAGGTCAGCCACCATTATTACTACAAACAACGACCCAAAGTTAATGATGGCACTCGGCGAAGGGACAGAGCAGCAGCAGCAGCAGGAGGAGGAGGAGGGACGTCGAGCCTTTGACATTTTCTGGGACATCATCATTACACATTATAAATTAATGTCTGGTGTTGACATCTCGTGGTGGAAGAAGCTCCATTCCATGCAATTCATGATGAATGCTCACAACATTGCCAAAATGGTTATAGTTATTATGGTTGTTGTTGTCGATGAGAGACATGTATGCTTCAAGGGTCACTAAACTTTGAGGTCATTGACAAATTGGTCACTAGCTTCAGAATTTGATGTTTACAAGGACGTCACTCAAAGTTGGAGGGGGGAGGGGGGATTACAAAAAACGATCGTATACTTACGCCCATCTTGATTAAGATTTTTCGTCCAAAAATGTCAGCATTAGTCTTCCAACGTAACTCAAAAACAAGCTGAGTGATTGGAATGGTCACATTAGCGTAGACTCGTCATCAGTTGATATGAAAGACGCATTGTCATGACCATACTTGATGCAGACCGCACTTGTTACTCTGTACCCAACTTTCAATATAAAGTAACTATAATAACCACTATAATACCACATTTTCTCCAATCACGATAGTTCATTTACTGGTATGACTGTTGTTATTAATATAGTGGAGTTAATATACAAATATTAACAATTTTAGAAACATAAACGAAATACAATGTTAGACTGAAAAACCTCGACGAAGACGAATCAAGTGACTAACTATTATGCTACCACAAGATTAACTCCCAAATTCGTTAAAAATCAAAGTTTAGTGACCTCAATCTTTTGAGCTGTCAAATTTATAGTTGACCCCAAAAAACAGGCTTTATGCTTTGCTTGCTAAGTTGGCAACCCACATGAAACCAGCCATTTTAAGGCTTTTTTTCTTTTTGGTAAAGATCATTGAAGGCTTTGATTAGTCTACTCCATCTCTTTTTTATTTCTTTAAGTAGGAGCTCATCAGAACCCCATTTTCTTCAGGCTCAGGCTAATAAGCAATGGATTCAGCTAGGTATTGTAGCTCATTAGCTAAGCTAGGGTTTTGTAAGATGACAAGTCTTGGGGTTAATTGCATTGTTGGTCACTGAGATTACAAAAAACGTTCATGTTTGGTCACTCGAAATATTTAAATCCATTCATGGTCACTACATTTAGTAAAACATTCCAAATTTGGTCACTCTCCGTCCAACTCCGTTAACTTTAGCTGACGTGGCAGTCAACTCTCATAGTTTACCGTTAAGTCTGTGATGTGGCAATTAAAAATTAATGAAAAATTAATTTTAAATATTCCACCTCATTATCACTACTATTAAAAATTAAAAAATTAAAAATTATTAATACCTAATGAACTCACCCCTCTTTCTCACTGTTGACGGAAGAGGGCGTCGGCCAAATCCCTAAACCTAATACCCTCTCTTCCCGCACCTCTCCCACATCTCCTCCGCCTAGCTTCTCTCCGCGAAATACGCCTCCACAGAAGCGAGAGTTTCCCCTCCTCCGCCGCTAGTCAATGGGCTCCACTATGATCGGCAACCGCTCGTAGTGGCCGCGCGTCTTACCCTCGAGCGAGTCCAGTCGAGCAAGTCCTCGGGGCAAGACGGCGTACAACTAGCTGACGACTCAGTCGGAGCTGGCGGCGCCGAGGAGGTCGAGGAGGGAAGGGACGCGATAGGGCCCACAGACGAGTGGGTAGGGTTCGACGGTGCGGCAATCGCTGCGAACCCTAGCTTTTTACCGTTGCAATTCATCGTCCACACTGGCACGGAGCGGAGCGGGCAGGAGCGTAACTCGGGTCGGCTGCAGTCTAGGGCGATCCGGACGAGCCCGAATTTCATCTCCTTGACGAGCTGGTGCGTCGGGACGGAGAGCTCGAGGAGCAACAGCGGCTTCGTGGCCAGGCGGTCGTGCTGGAAACAGAGCCACACGTGGCCGCGGTGGTTGCCGAATATGGTTCCGATCACCATGGTCTTGGACGGCCGAGATGGCGCCAGGCTGGCGCTCTGATCGGTGGATGTGGAGGAATCCGGGTCTTGCTGGTCATCGTCGTCTTGGGGATCCTTCTTGGAGGATACGACGTCGTCCGGGAGGTCGTCGCGGAGAGAAGTACTGATCCGCTTCTTAGTAGTGTGGTGGGGACTGGGGAGCGGCAGCGGCTGAGGCGGTGGAGGCAGGGGAGAAACAGGGGAGGAATCGACGGAGAGCGTCAATCTTGGTCACAGGTCCCACTCGAGAATCGTCTCCAATGGAGCACCAACAATTCCTCGGTTTGCAGCTGGGTCGGAATCGACGCGAATCAGTCCTCTGTCCACTCCCTCCGCCTCCCTGGCGTCGGGCCGGTGGGCCGATTCCGATAAACACGACAGAGCTCTCCCTCTTTCAGTGGACGGTGAGAAAGAGGGGTGAGATTAGTTCATTAGGTATTTAAAATTAATAATTAATATTTTTTTAATTTTTAATAGTAGTGATAATGAAGTGGAATATTTAAAATTAATTTTTATTAATTTTTAATTGCCACGTCACAGATTTAACGGTCAACTATTAGAGTTGACTGCCACATCAGCCAAAGTTAACGGAGTTGGACGGAGAGTGACCAAATTTGAATTGTTTTACTAAATGTAGTGACCATGGATGGATTTAAATATTTTGAGTGACCAAACATGAACGTTTTTTGTAATTTCAGTGACCAACCATGCAATTAACCCCAAGTCTTGAGAATACAAAGAACAAAGGTTCTGGTGCTTTTAATAGCTTGCTGCTAGGGTTCTGAAATCTGTAGTAATCGAATGACTTATGAGGAGCAGAACCAAAGAACACAGTGTCCAATGTTGGATCTCCCCTACCATAACCATATCTTTTGATGCATCAGAGGGCTTTTTTCTTACAGAGATTTGGCTAATGGCTAGTTCTTTTATAGGCTTTAACCCACCAATTACCAAAGCAAAAAACCAAAACCTTTTCTTTCCCAATAAATCACTATCCTTTTCCATCTTTTTACTGCTCTCTACATATAGTTTTTTTTTACTTCTAAAATTTACAGTCAGTTAAAAGTTAAAACTCATGACTTGGACTACTGAGAGAGAGGTATGGTATGTGAATCAAACACTGCAAAATGTGGTGTTAGGATTTCACAGCAGTTTCAAAGCTCTGTGCAGGCTTTGAATTTATTACTGCTGCTTTTTCTCTCCTCTGTTTCTTTCATTATAATCATCACAACCCTTTGGGGATGTGACTACTCATGGTCAATCTGTGTCAGTCCACGGCCAAGATTCATTAATTTTTCTTTCAAATTTTAAAACTTTCAATACTTGCAACAAAAGGGTAATAAACTAATAATAATAACTAATAAGCAAAAAGAACAAAGGAAATTGATTATGTGCAGTACAGAAGACAAAGCAAGAGGCAGGCATTGTCCTTTTTCACTGTTGCATTTTGCTCCTCTGTTCTTTTTCTCTTCTCCTTCTTCAACTTGCATGAAAGACTTTCGTCCCAAAAGGAAACCAACCCACAGGGAGAGGCTACTGATTTGCTTTTGTCATTCCATTTATAAATGTGGAATTGTGGTGTAGTGCCGTGAATATGGAGTGTGTATGCAATACCTATTACTTAAGAAGTTCAAAAATGTGGATTCCATTAAGAAAGAAATCTTCTTTGTTTCGGCTTACGGGGCACTAAAATGGGTTCTAGGAGTGTTTAGAACCTATTACGAGTGATTTGAATAGAGCAATTTATAAACGTCCAGATTGGATTTAGAACAATTGTTTATGAGATATGGGATAATTTGGTTAAATTGACTATAAAATTCCCCTTCCAAATGACTCATAATCATCGTCTTCTAAGAGGATTAGTAACTTTTGGGTTGAGTTTTATGGCGAGATACTTCTTTTAGCCCTTGTTAATATTTTTATTATATGCACCACAGAATCGACAAATGGGCAAAACAAGATGAAAAAAAAATCTAAAAATTCATCGAAATGAGAGAAAAGATAAATGGGTGGAGAATACTTATCTTAGAGATTATTTACAACACTTTATCGAATGTATATATTAGAATGACTTTTTTGCAATCAATACTAACCACTTTTATTGCAAAAATTATATGTTATACTTGAGCTATTGGAATGAATTGATAATAAAAAAATAATGTAATTTTAAACCAATGTATATATTAGAATATAAGAAAAGACAAAAGAAAAGAAAAACGGAAAAAACAGAACAAAGACACAAAAAAATCCGGGAAAACACAAATTCTGGCGGCAGAAAAAAAAAAAGGATAATTCAATCCAGGGAAGAAAAAGAATCTGCGGCCAGAAGCAAAAATGGCGCTCCTTTCCTCTTCTCCTTCCCCGGCAATCCCTCCCCGTCTCTCCTTCTCTCGCCGGAACTGTTTGCCTCCGCCGCACTGCCGCCATTCCTACAACCCCATCTCTTCTTCTTCTTACCGCTTTCCCCGCCTCCGACCAACCGCAGCAGCAGCTTCCTCCGAAGTATGTTCCCCTCACTCGCTCGACAAGTCAACCCTCTCAATCTCCGTCGCCGATTCCGACGACGAGCTCTGGGCAGCCGCCCGCCTCCGAGTTCGATCCTTCTACAAGCTCAATTCGTCGTCTTTCGGCATTGAGGTGAGTCCGCCGCCGTTGAAGGAGCTATTAGATTTTTGGGTTTTGAGAAAAGCTTTGAGAAATTGATTCGATTGTAGTTGGGAACTTACACAGTTCCGGTTGTGAAATTAGGATCATAAGAAGTACTTAGCGGAGCGAGAATATGAAGCGATGAAGGAACGCATTGATGGGTTGCGGCCGATGTTTAGAAGGGTGTCCTGCCTCAATGCCACTCTCCCTTTGTCCCAATTCACTGAGTTTTTCGAAGATTTCTGCGACGAATGTAAGGTTTGATGTTCTTCTTTTTCCTTCATACTTCCCCTGCGAATATCAGCTCTAGTGTGTTACAAGAACTGTGGTAGATGGAGAATTTGATTGGTTGTTTGAGCTTGTGATGGAATGTTCAGCTGTTCAGGATTGGCTCGGAATGGTTTGTGATTTGAGGGTTTCTCTAGTTCCAGTAATGGAAAGTATGGAACTTTAATAGCCTGGTTTGCTAGAGGATGCTGATTTTTTCGGGTTGAGCAGTGGTTAAGTTCAATGTGTGAAGCTCTCATATGAAGCCACTGAGTTTGAGAGTGAAAATCTCTTGTTCTCAATGCTTCGTCTAGCTTATGATATTGCTAAGTTTCTTAGCAACTGTACTCTTGTTGATCTTGTAGTATACTGACAATGGAGAAGATCGGGTGGTGGTTGGAACTCTTGATCTCAATCAATGTCTAAGACTTCCCGATGAGATAACCGGAAAGAGACCCGAGGTAGTTGAGAGGAGATTGATTGGTTAGCTGATGTAGAATTTCCATGGTAACTTGATTCATTAAAGGCTTCTGCATCAGGGGATTGGAGCTGATTTTGCCAGGGCATACTTGAGCAATGTATGTGTAGCCAAGGAGCTTCACCGAAACGGGTTAGGCCGAGAACTCATTTCCAAGTCTAAAATCGTAGCTCGGGAATGGGGTTAGTAAGGGAAACTTTTACTCCGAAGTCCTTTCCTTCCATCTGTAATTGTGCCTTCTGGTCCTAATTTTAGCATAACTTCAAAACTTGCAGGCATTTCTGATATGTATGTCCATGTAGCCGTAGACAACGAACCGGCTAAGAATCTCTACATGAAAAGCGGGTTTACTTATGAGAACGATGAGCCGGCGTGGCAAGCCAGGTTCCTAGATCGCCCTCGTAGGCTTCTCTTGTGGTTTGGTCTGTCAGATCTACAGGACTGGTTGGTATGATCATGTAAAGATTCCTCCCTTTGTCTTCCACAACATTGTGCACATATAAAGAACATCTAGAATTTGTATCTAAGAGAACTAGCTTTGAAACTGTATATTATTACATCCTCATGTTGTACTCCAGCTGATACATGATTCTTGATTATTTTTCGTATTTAAATCCGCTCATAGCATACAATATCTTTATCGATGGTTAAGTAACTAGTTGATCTCTCTCTCTCTTATTCTGGTAGGAACTTCAACGTAATTATCATTGTCTGCATATGCCGTGCAGAACTTCATTAGATCCTGCGACAGAAAAGCTGTAATTCGTCAAGCATCCCTACTTGTGGGTTGGTTAAACTGTATAGCAAGTAGTAACACAGATGTTATGGTACTTACGGATCATATGCAACTCGGACTTTCCCAGCATCAGGATTAGCGATCCTCGAGAACGCACCTCGAGAGAGGTTGAGGTCGCCGGTGCAGGCCTTGCAGTAATCGACGACAGTGACTATAATGGCTGCAGTGGTGGTTTTGCAGGCATTGCGGACTAAGTTTGCAGGGCCAACGCATCTGACTCTGTATCTCCTCCCACAAGCTCGGCCGTTATTCCATAGCTTGTCGCTCACCCCAACTATCATGTCTCCCTTGTTCTGGTTCCCGTAGCAGGCTGAAGCTGTAACGTTTAGACAAGAAAAAAGACTCCATCAGAAACATTCAACTCGCTTCTGAGTTCTGATGAAAGAGGGAAGTGGGTATCTACGAGTGTTCTTGAGGTGGAAGACGGCCAGGCCTTGGGCAGCTTCTGTGGTGTCTATGAGACAGAGGAGCAACAACAATCCCACCATTGTTGTCGTGATGGTGAGCTTGGTGATGGTGCCATGGTGATGCTGCTGATGCTCCATTTTGTATTTGATCGAGATCGAGTAATTGGTGAATTTTCGGTTTTGTGGGTTTTCAAGCTTTGCTTGATCCCAATTTATAGAAGTATACAGTCAAAGTTACGTGGAAAACTTTTGGGTCCAAACCCACTAAGTGAAGTATTTTCAAAGTCCAAAATTCATTCTTTGATTCTATACTTAATAAGCGAACGCTCTGAAATCATTGAAAGATCGAAAGTTTACTTAAGTATTCAATATTTTTTTCCTCGCTCTTTGTCAGAACCAATTAATTTGATTAGTCTTCATGTAGTCGGAATAATCTCGAAAACATACACTAAAACTCTCTTGATAAAATTTTTCCATACGAAAATCAGTCTTCATCTCGGTCATAGAAGGCTCCTCGGGGACTAGTGATGTGTCGTTTGGTTGGAGGTGTTACTAGCCTACGTCTTTGACTCCTATGGTTCATCAAAATCCGTAGCAAATGGAAGAGGGAACGAAACTAACACCAAATCGTAGTTGGGCTTCTGGGTTGCTGGGCCCATTCGGTAGCCCAAATTCAGAGCTCTTCCTGTCAAAAAGGGAGCGAGGGAAAACCGAGCGCGATTCGCTGTTCAGTACAGAAGAAGAAAGCGAGGGAAAACGAAGAGAAAAGAGTGCAGGAGAAGAAGCTGCTGCGGAAATGTACGGCGGAAGCGAATTCGATGGAGGCGCGGCGGCGTTCATGGGCGGCGGATTCATGCCTTCTCAGGCCACTCAACCTCACGATTCCTTCGCATCCTCTTCCGCCTCCAAGGTACCCCTCGACTACTTCCCCTTTCCCTCAAGAAACCCACCATTTTCCCTCGCTTTTCACAGCTTTCAAATGACCGATTACTCAATAGTCAGTATGATTACCCTTCCGGTGGGAAAAATGGTGGATAGCAGCTTTAGCATCTTCCAAGTTTGTTGATTTTAACGGTTCCATTTTGGGGATTTTGCTTAATCTGTCCGTGTAATTTTTCCCCCTTGATCGAGATTGACACGGCTGCTTAGCTGGTTAGGGTTGTGCGGTTGTTGCCCTGTTTTGTCTGAGTTACATGGGTTTGATAGATTGGTCGGTGTTCTTAAATGGGTGGAAGTCAGTCTCTGCGTAATTTGGGTTGGGTGACCTGAAGTTGGAGACTTGTGAAGACTGAGCATGATAGTGTTAATGGAGTGTTCCTTACGTGCTTGCTTGTTCGTGAATCTTAAAAGTTGCTCTTTTGGTTTTTCGACAGAATCGAGACGCCAAGGTCCTTTTGCCACTTACTGTTAAACAGATGAGCGAGCTAGCGAATACTGATGAGTCCAATTTCACTGTTGATGGTGTTGTTGTGAACACTGTAAGTGTTCTGCAGATTGGAGTGTTTCCTTTGTTCGTATATCTTTGTGAGTGTTCTTTTTCCGTACGGGGATGGATTGATAGAGTATCTTTTAGGTTGTTGTGGTGGGGAGGGTGTGTCGGAAGGAAGACAAGCTGAACGAGTTTACTTTTCTCGTCGATGATGGCACAGGAGTGATTGGATGCTGCAAATGGTAAGCTTCATAGAAACTGTTCACAATGTCTAAATTCTAATGGTTTTATATGCACAGCAGAGTAATGCAGTTTACATGCTTTTATATAGGATTCAGGAACCTCTTGACAATGAAGAAATCGAAGGAATCTCGTATGCATCTCTACATCATTTTTTCTAGACTTCTATGGTTAGTAACTGTGTTCAAAAGCACCGGGAAATCTATTTACACGCCTTTGATTTCTTCCACCTACAGAATCGGAACTTATGTCCGTGTTCATGGACACTTGAGAAGCTTGCAGGGCAGAAGATTCATCAATGTCTTCTCTATTAGGTTGGTATTTTGACTTCTTTTTTCATAAATATATTTGCACATAGATTGCCTTGTTTATTAAGTCTTGATTTCGAATTTGGATGTGGTTCTCAGGCCAGTTACCGATTTCAATGAGGTGGCAAGCCACTTGATTGAGTGCATATACGTCCACTTCTACAATACCAAGATGAAGGTATTGCTCTCTGGTTACTGAAATCACATCGTAGTAGTCCTTCAATTGGAAATGCTTGTTTTAATGCACACTATGGCGATGTGGACTGTAGGGAGCACCATTGACAAATTCCATTCCACCAAGCAGCAACAACTTCTCAAGGGGACTTCAGTCTGCCCCTCTGAATCAGGTCGGTTTGTCATCAAGTCAATTGTTGGGTTGGCCCCTATGATTAATCAATCGTCTTGTGCTTACATCGCTTCCTCTCCTTTGCAGCCTGCTGCCGCATTTCAGGGTGGTGATGGGATCAATGACCTGGGATGCAAGATACTAGACCTGCTTAAACAGCCTCAATATCTGTGAGTTACTACATCAGAAACTATCTCTAATGCCTCCTCCATCAATTGCCCTCCTCAAGGGCCCTTCGATCTGTAATTCTTTGCAGGTCTATTGAAGAGGGAGTGCATCAAGAGACCATTGCTCGCCAGCTTAACCTTCCAATGCATATTATCAGGTCAGTCTCTTGCTTTGACGCCTTTCTTGCCGCTTCTCCTTTCTCACATGCCTACCTCGGACGAACTTTTCTAACGCCATCGACCTTCTTGTTTTTTTTTTACCTGTCTTTGGACAGGGAAGGAATTGACACTCTTATTGACAACGGCTTCATGTACTCCTCGATCGATGAGTTTCACTTCAAATCAGCCGTCAACGCTTAGACTTTTCATGGTTTTGTTCTCTTCTAGACTTGCCAGGAACATATGTGTTCTAGGGTTTGTGTTTTTTTCCTAGGGCCGCCATTGATCATCAACCATGTTCATATTTGCTAAACTCAGTTTTCTTGTAGTTCATTATACAGAAACCTAACACTCTTCTCTTAAGTCGAATACCTGGTACGAATCAACTCTTCGTGTGGATAGATCAGAACGAGTTTATTGATTAATTTATGTCCATCACGTTTATTATGTCATCCGGCACATTGAACACTGCTACATACACATGTGCTCTTTACATTTTATTCAGCTGCACATTATTACATATGATTGTGCTTCCAAATCTTGGTCTCTCTTCTCCACCACGCTCTCTAAACCCTGCACATACAGAAACAGAAAGCAAGACAAACTTCAACACCCGAGAATCGATCAATCCGTTCTCGTAGAGCAAGCAACATAAGAGATGGGATGGGCAACTTACTGGTTATATTCGATGTTGATCCGGCCAACATCAGGATCGGCGATCTGAGTGAAGGCTTCCTGGGATAGATCGAGGGTGACTTGGCAGCCAGGAGACGGGCAACGATCGACGACCCTAACTGTCACGCTTCCAGCTTTGCAGTTCCTCGGGTCGGTGCACCTGACGTTGTACATCCTGCCGCAGGCTGCCCCGTTGTTCCAGAGCGGGTCGCTCACCGCCGCTATCATCACTCCTTGGTCTTCCAATCCATAGCAAGCCGACGCTGCATTGCCATAAAACACACATCAAAACAAAGACAGTTTTACAAACAAACTATGTGCTACGTACGCAGGAGAGCTTTATGTTGGAGCAACTTACGGACGTAAGTGGTGTAGAAAGTGGCTGTTCCGGCGATGGCCGAAGCAGGGGAGGGAACAAAGGCGACGACCAGAAGAACCGTCGCTAAAGCTAAACTTTTGATCATAACTCCCATCTTTTGTGACCAGTTCGATTTGCGTTTGCGAAGCTATAACGGTTTTGTTCCCTTTTTATAGGTTAAGTAGATGGTTAAAGGAGAGGTTCTAGCTGTGGACCTTTCCAACTTGTTAGTCTCAGGCTGCTAGCTCGTGTGGTCACTATAGATAAAGTCTTGAAGAACATAATCACGTAATTGGAATTTTAAGGGAATTTAGACTGGAGCTAGCTAATGTCATCGATGCATGAAACGTTATATCTTGTGGAAAATTATGTGCTTCTGGAATTGGAAAAGAGAGATGCAAAAAAACAAGGTGTGAGTTTTGAAAATTACTACGAGAAATAAGTGTACATCATGATAAATTGCAGCTAGAAGTATTAGGATGGGTTATAGGTATAATTTGTCTCTTTACTATAACGTTTTATTAAACATGTCCTTCTACTATTTTTTACAATGAACATGCCCCTGTACTTTGTAAAAACGATCAAACATGCCCTTTTGTTTCTATTTTTTCCAACAACCATTAACCAAGGTCGAACTTTGGTTTGGGCGGCACAAATGTCTAAAATATCCCTAACAATTTCACTTTAGAATTTTCTTCTTCTTTTGTATTGCTAAATAATTCAAATAATTTCACTTTTAAGAGACCCAGAGAAATAAAACGGGAGACAAAAATGACATTTTCGCTCTCATTTGTCGATGTCGGGTCGTCTAAATCTCGGTTCAGCCATGATTGACGATTTTTTCAATGGAAATTTTAACAGAAGGGCATGTTTGATAATTTTTTCAAAGTACAGAGACATGTTTGCTGTAAAAAAACAATAGAGGGGCATGTTTGATAAAATGTCATAGTAGAGAGGCATATTATACCTATAACCCTATTATGATTTGTGAAACCCCACCGTATCGACAGTCCGACTGGAAAAAGTCTCTATCGAAAGCTAAATTGATATGTGATTTGTAGTGATAGAAATAATTAAATGACAATTTCAGCACAAACGATTATGTTGGGCCTAGAAGGAAGACACGCAGCCCGTGAGCCCAAGGAGCATTGAGGGCCCATGTAAGAATGAGTAAGGTCCAAATCAAGGACGGTGGGCGAAGGCGGTTCCCATGAACCATGCAACGAGACCGCCCGACATCCGAAAGGGACAACGGTCAAGAACCGCCCGGCACTCTGGCTTCGCGGTACGGAGTCTGACAGGAAGACGTTAGCGAAGCCAGAAGCGTCCTAGACCGCCCGACAACGCATTAAATACCCACGACCGAGCCGAGACTAGTATAAATACCTATAGAAAGGCCACATTTATGGTAACTCCTATCAACCACAATCTCTCTCTTATTTACTCCTCTTTCACTTCTCTCTCTAACTTTGGCATCGGAGGAGGTCCCAGGAAACCTCCTGTTGACCTTTCTTGCAGGACTTCAAGGATCGCCTCTCACCTACAAAGGACCGCTCGAAGTCTGTAAAACCTCACTAAACCGCCTGGTGCGAATCAGGCCTAAACAGATTATATTGTTATATTTTCTGATACGACCACCTCTGGTATGATTTTACAATCCTTGCATTTGCATTGGTCTTATCACTTATGTATTTTGCTTGAAGCTGTGGTATTATTATTAGTTTGTAAAACGGACTGGCCATAAAATCCGGCCCAAGTAAAGCCCTCACAACAAGAACATGCCGCGATGAATGAATGATTGATACTCGGCCCACAGGCCCGTTGGCATTTTCTTTGTCAATACTGCAAACTTGCTTCTGTTCAGAAACCAGAACGCCATTTGATGATGGGATGCTATAGTTTTATAATGAGAAATGAGTTGGGAAGATAAACTTGATAGTAGATATATATGCACCAGTAGTCTTTATCTTCGTCACAGTCGACAAATGGGCTTTACCATATTCGACGTTCCTGACACTCTCTTTTATCTCTGATTCGGCTAATCTCTCTCTGCCGTCATCGGGAGTGTTCAAAGGATAAGGCTCTGTTTTTTTTCCTCTGCTCACTGCGCAGCCCACTCTTTCGCTTTCCATCTTTCGAGACCGGCCAGTTCAAGCTTCGATGGATTCTTTAGGTTAAGCAGAAGTTCTTCGGGGCGGTTTAATTGGCGTTGGCGGGATTCAGTTGTTGTTGGAGGATTTTCGAACGTGAAGGGATGAATCGAAGTTGTCGAGCAATTTTTTATGGGTTGGAGGACAAGTTGAAATTTTAGTAAATTTGAAGGGTTTGGGCAGATTCGCGAAGAAGGTTTTGTACTCGAACTTTGAGCAGTGTAGCATAAATATAATATTTTATTTGGTTTTTTTTTTTTTAACTTTGAGACAAAAGGTATCTCGTTATCTTATATATAATAGCGGACTACACTTTATTGCCCCAAACATCCATTTACTGTTTCATTCTTTGTCGTTTACTGAAAAGGAAATTATGGTTCTTCTTAGCCCTCTGCAACGAACGTTGCTGTCTGCCAGCTCCGGCCACCTTGCCTCTCTCAAATCACCGCCCTTCCACCGCCTCCTTTTGGTCCGCCTCCTTTTGGTCGATTCGGCCCATTCTTTCCGTACATGAATTGACTAGCTTGAAAATTTGTACTTATATTCACTCATGGTTCCAATAGAGAGAGGACTCATTATGAGCTAAAGCCCAAACCGAGAAGATGGAGGCAGAGAAGCAGAGCAGTCTCTCTCTGAGAGGAGTACGACTAGCACTGTAGTAGACATGGGCGGTAGCGTATGGAAGCAGCGACCTACCGTACTTTTCTCCCCTCTTTTTTTTTTTAAGCGGAGCTTTTCTCCTCTCTGATTTCAGCCTTCCAACCTTATTCTCACCCTTTCACTCTGCTCCTCCTTTCGGCTTTGATTGTATTTGAATGGAGGCAGATGCTTCCCCATCTTCCCCCCTCCATGATTCCCTCCTTCTCTCTTGCAAAGTAAGCCCCAAAATTTACCCTTGATGTTGGCCATCGGGAACCTAAAAGCAGAGGAAGACAGGATCGATTTGGAACAGGAGGAGCACGGTCAGAAGGAAGGTGACGAGAAGGAAGGCGATCCGTTAGACACAGCGGCATCGCGGAATATTTCTCCCCCCCTGTAAGCGTTTCCCCACCTCATTCCCCACCTCTCTCTTTGTTTTGTTGGTAGAAGAAGAAGCGGAGAAGTTGAAAAGGAGAACACATAGAAGGAAAAGGAAAAGAAATGCTCAATGAGCTATGGACTCTATTTCTCTTGGTGGTGGAAGAAAAGCAGCAGAAAAAGTTGCAAAAGAAAACACAGAGAAGGAGAAGGAAAAGAAGACGATCACGAGCTATGGACTGATTTTGCGGGGACTTTCACTTCTTGGCAATGGCCATAGAATTATCGGTATGTGTTTGATTTCGTACTGTCAACAAGAAAATCTTATATTAGATCGAAGGTTTTGTTTTGTCCCTACTTGATTTTTGTCAACAAGAAAATCTTATATTAGATCGAAGGTTTTGTTTTGTCCCTACTTGATTTTTGTATGGTACGAGATTCCTAGAAATTGTGACGTTCCCTTCATTTGTTTTTGCAGGGTGGGAGTGAATGAATGGGCACAATTAGTCATTTGCAGTTTGTTCTTTTGAACTTCTCAGCATATGCTTTTTGTCTGCAAGCTCTGCCATCTTATATAATCAATCAGCCCCTTTGTGTTGTTGTTGCAGTTCTGGTTCTAAGTTACTGCTAAGCTTTCCAAGGAGTTCATGGTTGATGATGGAGGAGTTGGCCTGTGCACAAAGACCAGCAAGAAATCATGGATTCCAAGAGTCCCAGCAGCCCTCCATTAAGCTCCTGCTCCACATCTCGGTCTCAGCCTCTTAAACAGATGTCTTCATACTCTAATGGTTCTATCATGGAGTGAAAATTGTTTCACACTCTAATGTTAAACACTTAGACACCTCAAGTGGTAAGGAACAAGAGCCAGACTTCTTTATGCCATCTTCTGCTGTTGATGAGAAGGATTCAGTGGTAGTAGTAGATTCCATTGGTTATGATCATGAGACTTCCAGTACTACAAATGACTCGCTCGAGTTTGGAACAGATTTGGACAGTGGCCAGAGTAACAACAACCATGCACCTTTCCATCTTGACCTGTTGGAGGCCAAAGAGACACTAGGAGCAGAGGCCAAAGAGAGCTTTACAACAATGAAGAAGCAAGAACGAACACTAGGAGCAGAAAGACTACCAGCATCTGCAGAGCCAACAGTGGGAAAGATGTCAGTGATGAGAGCAGCAGCACGTTGTACAAGCCTCACAAGGAAATTGGTGATGTGAGGCGGGAAGTAGGGCCCACGTTGGAGGAGCTCTCGAGCTGTAGCACTTTCGAGTAGTGAAGAAGCTCGAGTGTGGGGACATAGGTAATATTTACCTATCTAAGTTGACCAGCACCTTGACGTATTTTGCAATGAAGGTAATGAATGATTTGTTTTAGGCGGCTCGGAAGAAGGTTCTGATGGCTCAGACGGAGAGGGAGATTCTGCAGTCTCTAGATCATCATTTTGGCCACTTTGTATTATCACTTCGAGACCGAGAAAATTGCCTTGCTTGGTGATGGATTTCTGCCCTTGTGGTGACCATTCCCTGATTCCCTCTGGCAATGGCCACCTGGAAGGTTCTTCCCTGAGCATGCTGCCCTGTTTGGATTCTTCTCCTTAACTGGTCTTTTTTGCTTTTCTCTCCATAGCAATAGAAGTAAGTTGGCTTCTACCTTAACATGGCTTGCCCTTTTCCTGATAAACTTGATAGTTTCTAAAACAAAAATCATTATATTATGTATTGGATTTAATATACACTGGAATTGCATTACTGAATAGTTCATGTTTTCTTTTCTCTGTATACTATGTTAGATTTTCAGACATATATGTCCTTCCCCATCTAAAGCTTCTCAGAATCCGTGCCCTTCTTATTGCTTGATTTCTCTCCTCAGAAACAGTCCCCAACTTATTTCTATCAACTTCTGATTCAACCTCTGAATTAGTTTACTGAGCTATATATTGTTCTGCTTCTTCCATAATTGTCTATTTTCATTTCTGAGCTACGTGGATGAAGTTTACCGTGTCTTTCTGCAGGTTCTGTGTTGTAGAGGTTATCCTTGCTTTGGATTACCTACACATGCTGAGGACCATATACCGAGACATTAAGCTCGAGAACGTTTTAGACGAGAGGCAAAAATGTCGTTTCCAATTTCCTGAGCTCCACATGTTGTAGTATTAGCATGTTTTTCCTGCTGCTAAAAGCACTTCCACAAGTAATATAAGTTTGAGGAAATGGTTTTGCATTGTGGGGAGAGTACCTTCACAGTCCAGTAAGTATTTTTCCTCTTTCCATTTTCTGTTTATATTGAGTGAAAACAGATTTGTTATTGCTCAATCATAACAGAACCAACTCCAAAGAATTAAATCATGCACATGTTAATTTCTTATCATTGTTTGCCATGTTTATTCAACGATGCTTTGACCCCAGTTTAAGATGATAATGCTTGCTGAAATGAAGAACACATAATAGCAAGTTCTAAACAATGCACATACCGAGTTCCAAGCTACAACTGAATCTATACATCCTTCCTCATGCCTAGGCCATACTTTTCTCTATGATCTTCTGCTATTGGTTGTAGGTAATTCGATTAGCATTAACCTTATACCATGCCTTTAACGTGTTTGGGAGCTGCAAAGATGGAGAGGAAGTGCCTAAAGAGTCTTCTGCCTTCGAACAAACAGAAATTGAACAAACATGATGCAATTTCTGACCATAGAGAGAAGGTCAAAAATCTTGCTGCTTAAAATTTCATTTCCTTAGACAGAGCAAAGCTCTATATGCTGATTTCAACTTATTTATACTTTTGTGTTTAATTCACATGATAGTATGTATATTGTGTAACTTTACCGTCCCCACTTCTGGATCGTTTTTACGACAGAGTTTGATTGAATGTCTCTTATTCATCAGAGTAATTAGCTGAAGCATCAATGGGTTCTATCTGTCCGTACTCGGATTGAAGCCATTATTTAGTATGGAGAGAAACACCAAAAAGAGCAATTAAAGGAAAAGAATCCGAATAGGACAGAATGCTCAGTGAAGAACTTTGCAGGTTGCCTTTGCTCGAGGGAATGGTCACCACCAGGGCAGAACTCCATCACCAAGCATGGCAAGCAAGCCCATTTCTCGATCTTGAATTGTGAATACAAACAAAGTGACTTTGTTTGTATTACCAAAGTGATTTTTAGATTTTGTTCAACATACTTGACGGGTATGTACAAGTAACTTTGCGTACTGTACGCTTCATCTAAACTGCCCACAATATGAGTATGTTGTTGCAACTTAAGTTCCCGCGGCGTAGCAGCGGGCATTTTTTCTACTAAAGCTTTAACAAGTAATGAGCTGACTTCACCCTATCTCGAGGATTAGTCGAATTTGGCTGTGCAAATAAGGTTTTTACTCGAATTTATGAGGCACTTCAGAAATATTATGAATTAGTTAAAAATTCATCAAGTAATTGGGCATAGTTTATAAATAACGATGCATTATAATTGTTGTTTTGAGATAGTGAGTTCGAATCCATAAACAAAATTTTGTAAAGTTTTTTTTCGTACCATTGGGTATTTATTTATAGACAACTTGTCATGGCATTATGCTTTAAAAATGTTCTATTATTCTTTCATATCTAAGGAGCTACCTACCAATATATGTTAATGTTATCACTTACAAATTAAAATATACATTATATCCTTAGAAAATAACATACATTACATCCTTCCAATAAACTTTCCAATTTGGCATGCCATCTATCGATTTCACAAGGTCAACGCATTGTGTTTCGAAAAATATGAACTTAACAATATTGCTTTAGTATTGTCAATTTGTTAGACACGACAAGTTTCAACTCTTACCCATTACTCGTTCTACTTATAAAAATTTATACCTATCGATCATGAAATATTGGCTTGCTAATATTATTTAATGATTTCTTTCGATTCTCGTATTCGAACAAAAATTCACCGAATAAATTTCTATCATCGATCAACCAAAAGAATGACATTCAAATTGAATCAATTTACATGTACCTCAAATTATCAATCGTTTGACAATCCAATCGACTTTCGCCTTCTTTAGTGGAATCAAATCCGCACTTAGGAAAAAGGAAAGGAAAAAAAAAACAAGTGGGCAAGAAGTTTCCAAGAAACGCATTGGCGCCGTTGAAATAGCGGTCTTGCTCTTGCATCACAAAATATGACCATACAAAAGGGGACATAATCGTAATCTCACCGGGGGAGAAAACCCAATCTCTTCCCTTCCCGCAGGCGGCCAAAAACCGGGGGAAAACTCAAACCATTGTTCCTTTCTGCAAACGAGGAAAAAAAGATAACTTTTTTTTTATCTGCGAGCCATTGAAATATCTCTTTCAGCCTCTCCTTCCCCTTTCCATACGAACCCACAAAGAAATAGATCCCTAATTTGACAAAAAAAAAAATCATGCCTTCCAATCCAGATCACCCGCCGCCGCCGGCGGCGGCGACGGGGGCAAGCACCGTCCACCCACCACCGCCGAAGCCGAACCCAAAGCTCCTCTCTTTACTCCTCAAGGCCCTGATTATGATCTTCATCACGACCCTCTTCTTCCTCTTCCTCGGCGTCGCGGCAATCCTCCTCCTCCTCGCCACCGCCGCGCTCCACCGCCATTCCAATCCGGCCAACAGCAACAACCCATCCACCGCCACCGCGAATGGGATCTCCTTGCGCGACCTGAAGCGGCGGCTCCCGCAATTCAGATTCTCGCGGAGGATGCAAGGAGGCGAGACCGACGAATGCGTGGTGTGTTTGGATTCGATTAAGCAGGGGCAATGGTGCAGGAAGCTACCCGGTTGTGGGCATTTGTTCCACCGGCGGTGCGTGGATCCGTGGCTGGTGAAGGTGCCGGCTTGCCCGATTTGCCGAGCTAGGGTTCAGCTGGTGGAGGAAGAAAGGAGTGGCGCTTTGGGTTTCGATTGGAGGAACGATTTCAGGGTCTGGTAGAAAGAAACGTTTTTTTTCTCCCACCTCGTAAGTCTCAACAATTTTGGTTAAAGTGTTCTTCTTTTGGTTAAAGTGTTCTTCTTTCTTCTTCTTCAAGTTCCTGGAATTCCCCTGTATATTACAACTATGGTCGCCTCTTATGGTAATGGGATGATGATTTTCGGTTCCACTCGAGTTCACTGTTTGATTAAGTGGTGAGATTCTTGAATTTTATGTTCCTATCCCAACCAATCATGGATTGCAGGTCATGATTAAGATTTTAGATTTGCAGATCATGGCCATTTTGTTTAGTGGGATTGAACAGGATTCAGATTGCAGGTTTCGAAAGGGGCCGCGGTATCCTGCTGAGAGTCCTCTGCAGGAAAGGGTACGAAGGTTCATCCTTTCTGAAATTCGGATTATTGGGATGAATTGGTTCTTGACTAATGTCTAGTGATTGCCTGGAAGCGATCCGATGGGTCAATATATGGTTGTTTTTGCTTAGTTTCAGCCTTCCATGAAGAATAACCAGAATGGATGTAGATAGAGATCATAGATAAGTCTGTTCCTTGCGGCCTCATTTTCTCAGTTAGTGCAGTAGAATGTGGTTGGTTAAGCTTTTGATAGCTATGGAGTTACCATAAGAAGCAATAGAGTACTTAGATTTAAGATTTGGTATCAAAAGGTTGTGCCTTTTAACAGTTTCGAAAGTCAAGTGGATCATATACATTCGACTATCTTGTTGGTTTGGCCAAACTTTACTGGGTTTAGGTTAATGCTTTGATTGTGTGTTCCTGAAGTCTAAACGAATGGTAAAGCAGCTGGCTTTCGACCTACACCCAGAGAGGTCTCGTATTTTAGAGCTTTCTTACATGAGATGTCTGATTGATTCGGGATTAGGCACGTAATAGAGTTCTCTGTCTCTTCTTTCTGAGTGGATTGTTGGAAAAGGCCATAGTTAGTAGTACAAAGGTGCAGTTGGGTTACTTGAACCTTAGGCTGGCTCCAACCCAAGGAGCTAAAATGCTAAAAAGCCAAATTTGGCTCTTTTTCAAGCTCCAACCCACAAAAAAATGGGAAGCAAAAAATGGGTATTGGGATTTTGGAAGGGAAATTTGGCTGGGTTTTGGGGTGGGGAGTGATATTTGGCTGCCAAAAAGTGGGTTTGTTTGTCAGATGCGGAGAAGGGCGCCGGACGCGCGCCTGGCGCCCTTCTCCGCAGCTGACGTGCTGTTACTTTTTTTTTTCTTTCTTTTAACTTTTGTAGTGAGGGAATTTGTTTTGCCAATTTGTTTTGGATTTTTTTTCTCTATTCTCATTGGTTGTTTGTGATTCAATTTGAAATAATTGATGTAGTGACGAAAAAACAATCATATTTTAACGGCCATAAAAAACGGTCATATTTTAACGACTAATTTTTGAAAAAAAAATTATCTCGGAATTTAAAAAAAATTACATCAAAAAATTTGTATTCAAAACTAATAACGAGTTATGAAAAAATTAAAGTGAAATATAAAAATTAGAGGTCAAATAAGTATGGTTTATTGAAATAAATTGAAAAATGGAAATGGGAAGCTAAATTTAGCTTTTTATAGGGTTGGAGTGAAAAGTGGGTTTGGGGAGCTAAAAAGCCATATTTGGCCATTTGGGGAGCTAAATTCCCCTTTATGAGTTGGAGTTAGTCTTAGTAGGTTAATGATAACGACTAGTGGCTGATTACCGGTTGCTTTCATCAACCTAAGAAGGAAGAGTTGATTGGACTCTCTCGTTGAAATATGTTATTGTATTGTGAGAGAGTCGATTATCTTGATTGTGACCTTTAAGCTAATACAATACAACTCCTGATAACTCCCAAAAAAAAAAAAAAAAAACCCAAGAGAGCAACAACACTGAAATTACAGCAACATTATAAAGCAAAACCAAAGTTGGCCTAACTTAATTGTGCACAAATGCATGGTCTAGTCTTAGTACTGAGGGCTAGGAAAGTAGACCAAACTCGGGAATTGCCAACGATTGACGACATACAATCACCAAGGGTTAATGTGAGGATGCTAACATTCATCATGGTTTAGGTTTAAATTATCAAATTGACACCCTTATGAAAAGAAGTGAAATTCTCCTCTGTAGAATGAAAGATTGGTCTCGAACGAGTAGATATGCATGCAACAACAATCGCCTTTCTGTTGTTCTTACTCCTACTAATTGGCATGCCCTCTAATCCGCTCGTGTTGTGGTTTTTGACAGTGGAGCTGAATATGGTTTTCTCAAGTTTCAGGTAAATTCATTTCACGAAAGCAATCAAGTTCGAAACATAGTCAAATGATTATTTTGTCGAATATCTTGGCAATGAGATACGTGGTGGATTGAGCATTGTGGAATTGATGCAAATGCTAGTGTTACCTAGTAATGTTTAATCTGTTCTTGATGGAAGATTTTAGGCAATTGAATATAAAGTTTGTGAGGTCAAAATCATTGTTTTTCCTAAGGTGGAGCTTATGATGATCAACGTTGACTGAGACGATTTAAGCATAAGATGAGATACTAATAAACTTGTGACCAATGTTTCTAGCTCATTTATAGTCGTTCAATGTGAAGGTTCCTTCTTGTCACTCATCAAGACATTTTTTCCCCCAAATCATCAAGACATTTAGTGGTTGGATAACGAGTAATAAACTAATGGAAGTAAATGGGACTTCATGTTGCCTAATTTTTTTTCATTAGGGTGACTTTGTGTAGGAGTTTGCTACGATGACTTTGTTAAACTCAAAGTTATGGTGATGTGAAGTCTATCAATTCAATCTTTTGTATTGATCGATAATAACATCATTGGAACCATGGGTAGGAGGGGAAAATTGATCGTTCTTACCAATAATTCTACCGATTTGCATGAATTGATCAGCGTGGGAGCACAGAGACTCCCAATATCAAACAAGGACACGATAACCATTTAAAAAATAGTGATATCAACAGAAAAGCTCTAGAAATAATCATCTATGGCATTGGTTTATAGGCAATGCACCTTATGTTCTCCAAAACCGGTTGATATGCACATCATGGCGGTCGATCAAAACAAGCAACATGTTTGTTGGGACGACATCTTCCCAAATTGCTCGACCTGTATAACCAGGTGGCGGACCGATATAACAAAAAAACTAGAGCTTTGGTACCAAATAAGATATAAAGGGGTAATTTAATCAATAGTTAAGGATGGTTATATTGTTTTACTATAATTAGTAAAATATTTAGTGAAATTTATTTAGAAATTTCACCTCAATTATGGAATTTAAAATATCTAGCCACAATTTCACATAATTCAAAATTAAAAATAAATTTCATTATACTCAATTATGGAATTCATGGTAAATGGTATCTTAATTACCAACTAAATTAAAGAAGGCTTACTCAAAGTACTTTTTAACTATCAACTTGTTTACCACTAAAAAAATCACTCAATACCACATTGATTATTTTCAAGGAGTGGTAGTGATTTATAAGGCCAGCTCAACATTAATGATTAAAAGAGCTAGCTGGGCCTTGTTGGGTTGGGTTTTTGGACCTAAGTGGCCAAACCTCTTCTTCTCTATACGATGGCCGACCCGTCTCCGTGGCCTCCATAGCCGGACGATGCCTCCACTCCTTGGTATGAAATTTGACTAAGTTTGGAGACCCAACCACAAGAGGGGTCATGCATGCCAGGGGGGTCAAGCATGATACCATCCAAGGGGGTCTAGCCGCCTACCAGGTATCAAAGCGTGTGGCAAGGGGAGAAGGGCAACACAAGTCACTAGACCGTGATGGGAAAGAAGGCGAAAATTGGCTAAGTGTTGAGACCCAACCATCAAGGGGTCAAGCACGACATCATGCAAGGGGGGTCATGCATGACGTCGTCCAAGGGGGTCCTTGCACTAGGGTGTCAAGCATGATGCCGATGTGAAAATTGGCTAAGTATGGAGATCCAACCACAACACCCTCCGAGGGATGCCAAACGACCGGGTACCAAGCCGGGTACCAAATAGGAGGCCATCCAAAAACTAAGTATGGAAAACAAGGTGACACAACAGGGTGCCAAACGACCGGGTACCAAGTAAGAGGGTCAACGACGGGGTACCAAGCCGGCAAGGAAGGCCTGGTGCTGAGACAAAATCGGCTAAGTATGGGGCAAGAGGGTACCATGCCGGCAAGGCGGGCTTGGTACCAAGACATTGAATTTGGCTAAGTATAGAGCCAAAGGGGTGCCAAGCCGGCAAGGAAGGCCTGGTTCTGAGACAAAATCGGCTAAGTATGGGGCAAGAGGGTACCATGCCGGCAAGGCGGGCTTGGTACCAAGACATTGAATTTGGCTAAGTATAGAGCCAAAGGGGTACCAAGCCGAAAAGGCATGCTTTATACTAAAATACATGACAATTGGTTAAGTATGGAATCACATGGCCATAGCAAGAGGGTACCAAGCCGGCAAGGCAGGGTTTGGTACCAAGACATGAAAAGCATGAATTTGGCTAGGTATAAAGCCAACGGGGTTGGCAAGACATGCTTGGCAGCCAAGCAAAGCGACAGGGTACCATGACCCCAAGGGGGTATCAAGCCGGTAAGACTAACTTGGCGGCCTGGCAACAGGGGGCCAAGACGGACTTGATAGCCAGACATCAGCGTATCAAGCCAACAAGACAAGAAATTCGACTAAGGCATGGTGGCTAGCTGAGGTGGCCACCTAACTAGGTACCAAACAGCCATGTATGGCCCTTATGGGGCCATATGGAGATAAAGTCCCAAGACGGGCTTGGTAGCACCCAATCAGGGTACCAAGCCGGCAGGGTGTAACTTACCAACTTGATGAGGCTACAAAAACTAAGTATGGAGACCAAGCCACCAGGGCTGGCTTGGTAGCAAGGGATGTCAAGTTGATTACATGGGCTTGGTAGCATGCCAGAAGGTATCAAGCCGATGAGACGGCTTGGTAACAACCAACAAGTTAATAAGAAGGACTTGGTGTCATTAAGTGGTAGGGAACTCAGGAGCGGGGAGTCATCAAGCAGTCGAGGGTGAGATTAAGACCTCATCATGGTTCATGGAGGCTAAGGCAAGAGCCTCAACCCCATCCAGTCAGGACAAGGCGATAAGGATCAACAACAACCCGACCCGGCATCGAGGCCATCAACTACCCATCAGCCCAAAACGGGACAAAGGCCCCCAAGGTGACGGTTACCAACTAGTCACCAAGGCGGCGACAAGGACCTCGAGGCGGTTTGGAGCAACAAGCCAGCTAGCGGTTACAAAGGCAGCTACACTCGATGTCTATAAATAGGAGAAATTAAAATTGTAAAAGGGTTCCACAACCAATCATTTGACACACTATGTCAAAATTTATCTTTTTCCTGCAAATCAGCTTTTAGTTTTCGGAGCTCTCACTGGACCTCAATAGGAGTAGAGTAACGTAGCTTGTTCCCAAAAAACCATCAAAACATCAAACACCCTCGTTCGAACATTGTTCGGAGAGGAGTGAACCGTGTAATTATCGTTGTTCAGGAAGTCAAAGGTGCATTCATTGTGTTCAAACACAAGTTTTTCCTCACCGGAAAACACAACTTAAACCAATTAGTTCTCGAGTCAAGGTCTTCATCCATGAGCTTTAGATAGTGCGATTTCATGCTTCAAGGAAAGGTGAAAAGTCGGCCATAACTTATGTATTGGGACATACTGAATTTCAATTTCTAAGGGTTCTGTTGGTTTGATTTTGTCAACAATGAAATATTGATTATCATGACTAATAAGTAATGACGAATTCCAATCAGACTTTTCTTTAGTCAAACATTAAATAATTAACAAAGAACCATTAGAAACTTCCCCTACGTGTGGGTAGATGCAAGTCTTTGCAAGAAAAGCCTCTTATTAAAAAGGACTCCTTACAGCACCCTCATTTTTGCATGCTTCAACACAAAATTTTCACTCATCACCCACCAATTCTAAAACGCAACCCATTTCAATGGAGTCCTCATGGCTTAAAGGGTTGCTCACCATTTTCTCAGAAACCTTCAAAATCATCCCTAAAAATCCAACCTTGATCGCCTTGGCCACCATTCTCATCCTCATATTCAACTCCTGCTGCTACTTCGTAGCCCTCAACTACCTCAGGCTGTTGATCAACTCCTTCCAAAGCATGATGATCGACCCTACAAATCTCGATCGAATCGGAAAGTCGTTGGGATACATCATCATCGACGAGCTAATCATCGCAATCATCGCTTCACTCTCATCTCTCTTCACAGCTACATCCACAATCTTTGCTTCGGCCATGGTGCTCGGTGGAAAGCCCGCCATGAAAGTGAAAGACGTGTGTTGGAACGTTATAAGGACTAGGAAAGGAGCTTCCTTGACTTGGATTTACACGACCCTTTTCCTCTTGGGATACATTTGTATTATGTTTGCGGTTGCTTACCCTTTTACCCTCGTGTTCATGTCCAGCCCACGAGTTTCGTCGGCCATAATGAACATTTTTGTGGGTTTGGGATCGGTTTTGTACTCCTACTTGCTAGTGGATTTGAGTTTGGGCATGGTTGGCTCGGTTGTGGAGGAAGAGATTCGTGGCCTTGAAGCGATTGGGAAGGCCACAAGGATTGCCAAAGGGATGAAGCTACATGGGTTTGTTGTCAATCTGTTGTTCGGATTGGTGGGTTGGGGTATGTTGAAGTGCTCGGTTTGGTTTGGACTCCGATTGCCCGGGGTTGGGCAGATTGTTTCTCCTGTCGGTCTGGCCAGTCTTGGGTGGCCGACCACCGGCCAGATCGTCGTGGGGTTGGTTGTAGCCAACTGCTTATGTCTGTTGAAGATGCTGTGGTGGATGGCTTACAGTGTTATTTTCTATGAGGGCATGAACAGACATGGTGGTGCAGAGGTTGTTGATTTTGTGGAGGATGAGGAGTACACTGAAATCCCAAATCATGCAACTAGGGTTTATTAGAGTTGGTTTTTGTGTGGTTGATAGATTTATTAAGTGTTTTGAATATGTAAATTCGAGCTGAGGTTAATTTGTTCGAGAAATGATAGTTTGAAAAGTTTTATATCATATTATTCATTGTGAAAATAAAATTATTGAGATTTCCTACAGTAACTTGAAGTAAGGTAACTTGATTTTTTTACCCGCTATGACAGGTTTCACAGGCCTCATTATGTAAAATACAATAGGCCTTATGTAATGGTTACGTAACATATGGTAATCTTACGTAACAGTTGTAAAAGATTATTACGGAAGCCTTACGTAATAGAATGTGCCTTTACGTAATGATTATTAAGCTTGAGTTACGTAAAATGCTAAGTCATTACGGAAGCCTTACATAACACTACTGATTTAACTGTTACGTAAGAAATCATTGTCGTTCCGTAACTTTTACGTAATGGAAGGACTTTTTACGTAATGAGTATTGACCTCGCGTCACGTAAAGTGCTAAATCATTACGGAAGCCTTACGTAACGCTTCCAATTTAACTATTACGTAAGAAATAACTATCGTTACCTAACCTTTACGTAATGAATGTGTATTTTACGTAATAGTTGTAAAATATCTTTACGGAAACCTTACGTAATGGAAGGTCTCTTTACGTAACGAGCATTAGCGTCGTGTTACGTAAAGATCTAAGTTATTACAAAAGTCTTACGTAACGCTTCTAATTCAATAAGAATTGAAAAAAAGGAAAGAATAAAATATGGAAAACAACTAAATTTGAAATGGAAAGAAAGAAAATAAGAATGGTAAGTTGTGTAGTGGTGACCGGCAACCCCAGTTGTAATTTATTTTCTTACTTTTTTTTTATTTTTATTCCTTTAATCAATGGTTTAAATTAAGTTTGATAGATTTTAACGGTTTAGATCTATACAAGTTACCTAACTTGAAATTATACCCAAGTTACCGTAGGAGGTCCCTAAAATTATTTTATGGTTACAAGACTATTGGATATGTTGCTTTAAAATTTCTAATAGATGCATTCTAGTTTTATTAACGTTTAATAAAAAAATTAAATTTGTTTATTAAGAAATAGACAAGAAGGATTTTTATTTATCGATGACCAAATAAAAATTATTATTTTCCATTATAAAAGTCTTCTATAGTGAGAGGGTACTGAGAGAAAATTCTCCCAAATTTTGGTAGGGTTGGTTTCCAGTTAAGGTTCGGCCCTGTGGTGCCGGCACCTGCGCCGGCCGGTGTTCTTCGTCTGTTGTCCTAATTTCTTTCTTGATAAGTTCCTCTGGTGTGTCGGTGGCTTTACCTGCTCAGGGTGTTTTGACGAAACCTTGGGCGGATCTATTTGGCATATCGGAAGCTAATAGGCTTACTTACATCAAGTCATAGGTTTACCAGGGGGGTCTCCGGATGCCTAAGATTGTTCACGAGAAAGGCTCGATCTGATGGAAGCATAGCCTAGTCGGACAGTTTCTTCATCAAATGTCGGATCTCCCAATTCTTAACCGCTAGGCAAACAAGATTTGGGGGTGTGATGGGCAGGTTCAGATTCTCTTCTGGTGAACATTTTCTGTTGATTCAATTGCCATCACAAGCGACATGTGACTGGATCTTAGAGAGTGGCTCGTGGTTTTATCTGCACAACCTTCTCTATCTCCGCCCCTGGGCACCTGAGATGACGTGGAAGACTTGGGCAGGAAAGCTCTCCTAATTTTCGTCGATTTTCCAACCTCCCTCATGAATATGTTAACTATCAAGGTCTCAGTTGGGCTGCTAGCTGGATTGGGGTGTCTCTGGGAGTCGATCAGACCACTAGAACAGGAGGTAGGCTGGGGTACACAAAGATTATGGTTGAGACTTGAGATGCGAGTGGAGGGGAAATTTCCGGATCATGTGCTGATCTGGCCTAATGATGACACTTCTATTTGGGTTGGAGTCACTTATGCTCACTTACCTCCTGTATGTAAGCCTTGTTGACTATTTGGCGTATGTGAATGTCATAAGTAGGTATGGGTTAGGAAACAAAATAGGGTCAGAATTATACGGGTTGCTAAGGTTTTGGATAAGGGTAAAGAGGTTATGGTTTCGCCACAACCTATTTCACGGATTGAACAGGATACAATGTCCGAGAGTTTGTTGATTGGTTCCAACGTATAAGGATTGTGTGGGAGTCCATCTGGGGGGATTCACCTATGCAAGGTATTAGTCTTCATAAAAGCTTTGTTGCTATTGAATGCTCGTCTACTGTCCTCCCCCTCAGAAGATGAGTTTCAGCTAGTGGTTAATGGAGCTCGTCCTCGAGTATGGTCTCCTCAAGCAAGCCCTACTAGTGTACTTAGGGTATCTCAATCGTTCGATTTGCTCAGAACTTTAGAAGAAGGTATGGTTGTCAATTTACAGGCAACTCCAAGGAAAGGTGGTAAGAAGGAAGGATGCTCGCCCTCCTCTTCTAAATGATTATCTTATTGGGATTTCCTACAATAACTTGAAGTAAGGTAACTTGAATTTTTTTACCTGCAATAGCAGGTTTCACAGGTCGCATTACGTAAGATACAATAGGCATTACGTAATGGTTACGTAACATATTGTAATCTTACGTAACAGTTGTAAAAGATCATTACGGAAGCTTTACGTAATAGAATGTGTCTTTACGTAATGAGTATTAACCTCGCGTTACGTAAAATGTTAAGTCATTACGGAAGCCTTACGTAACGCTACTGATGTAACTGTTACATAAGAAATAGTTGTCGTTACGTAACATTTACGTAATGGAAGGTCTTTTTACGTAATGAGTATTAACCTCACGTTACGTAAAGTGTTAAGTCATTACGAAAGCCTTACGTAACGCTTCCGATTTAATTGTTACGTAAGAAATAACTATCATTTCGTAACCTTTACGTAATGAATGTGTATTTTACGTAACAGTTGTAAAATGTCATTACGGAAGCCTTACGTAATTAATGGAAGGTCTCTTTACGTAATGAGTATTAATGTCATGTTACGTAAAGAGCTAAGTTATTACGGAAGCTTTACGTAACGCTTCCGATTTCACTGTTACGTAAGAAATAACTATCATTCCGTAACCTTTACGTAAAGGAAGGTCTTTTTACGTAATGAGTATTAACCTCACGTTACGCAAAGTGCTAAGTTATTACGGAAGTCTTACGTAACGCTTCTAATTAAAATAAGGAAAGGATAAAATAAGGAAAGCAAATAAATGTGAAAAAGGAAAGAAAAAAATAAAGAAAGGTAAGTTAAGTGGGTGGTGACCGGCAACCCCCTATTGCCAATTATTTTTTTTCTTATTTTTTATTTTTTATTTTTTTAATCAATGGCTAAAAATAAGTTTGATCGATTTTAACGGTTTAGATCTATACAAGTTACCTAACTTGAAATTATACCCAAGTTACCGTAGGAGGTCCCTATCTTATTTCTGAATGTTAGAGGATTCAATAAACCCTCTAAGCACAAGGACTTGCTTTCAGTCCTTATGGAGAATAAAGTAGATATGGTAGCCATATTGGAAACTAGAGTATGGAAAAACAAAGCAAAGAAGGTGTCTGAAGATTTTTGTTATGGTGGAAGAAGCATTTGAAATATATTGACACTGATTTGGCCCGTATTTGGTTGTTTTGGGATTCTCAGAGTGTGGATTTAAGGGTGTTAGTACCAAGTAGAAACTTAGTTCATTGTCTAGTAAAGTCAGTGGAAGGGGAAAACGGTTTTGTTACTACTGTTTACGGTTTGAATGATGAGTTGGAAAGGAGGGCGACATACACTGAATTAGCAAAAGTAAAAGTGAGCAACCATCCTTGGTTAATTGGGGGAGACTTTAATGCAGTTTTGAAGCCAGGGAAAGTCTCCAAGACATGTGAGCCTACAAGCTGTATGGCGGACTTTGGTAGTTGGGTAGCTTCGATGGAGCTGTTTGATCATAGAGCTACAAGACCATTTTTCACATAGACAAATAACCAAGTAAGAAACCCTCATGCAAAAACTGGATAGAGCCCTGGTTAATGAGTGTTGGTTTGTTCAGTTCCCCAAATGTATGATTGAGATTAAGACTGTCCACTTTTCGGATCATTTATGGATACGTGTGGCTTCTAAACCGGTACAGAAGACCCTTCCAAAGTCCTTTAAATATTTTGACTTCTTGTCCAGTAACCCTGCGTTTATGCCACTAGTTCAAGAAGCTTCCTCCATCAACTAAGATTCGATGACCACTCCTATTTCTTTCCTGACAACATATTCTCTCGTGGATTCGTCAAAGCCTGTGCGAGGCGGTGACAGTGGGGTTTTATCCCTTGGCCTTTATGAGGAAAATTCCTGTAGGTTCCCTTTGGCGATCAACCCCTCAATTTCGTAGTGCAAATTTGTACAGTTTTCTGTTATATGGCCGGTTTCCCCGTGGAAATCATAAAATTTGCTACTGTCCCTCTTGTGAGAGCCTCTGTACTAGGGCGATGGCTAGCGAATTTTGGATCCCTTATCTCGAATGACTCCGAAAACTAGTCTGACGCTCTCATTTAGGGGAGTGAAGTTGGATGGGTTCGTAGCTGCGGGGATCGGGATCTATGCGGTGGTGTTGGTGGGGGGCTATTGGTTCGGTGCACCCACTATGCTATGTGTGAATGGCGTTTGGCGGTTGATGCCTTGCTTGATCGTCTTTTGTTTGTCGCATTGGTTCAAATATGCACACTAACCCAACACCTAAGGTTTCTTCGAACATTATTGCTTTCTCGACTTTTGCTTCCAGTTCTGAAGAAGACATCACAGGCCGCTTCGCCAATGATCTACGCAGCTCGCTGTTTTTGGTGGAGTCCATTAGGTGATGAGCTGTGGTTTCCGTGGTCAAGTCGTGAACTGTCATGACGACACAACCACCTTGTGTAGAACAGAACGCCCTCAGGTTCTCTCCTTCTTCTTTTTTTTATGTCGACTAAGGCCTTGGAGTGGAGTGACCTTCTCTTTTAGGATGTGAATTTGGTGGTGAATAGGCGGATGAACTCTTCAAAACTATGGATGATCCCGTTTGGCAGCGATTTTACCAGTTGAGGCATATCCCTGCAAAGATAGAGGGGAACGTTCGGCACGAGACGTCGTTGTTACATGTTTGGAGCTACATTCGGAGGCATAATTCGCTTACGTCAACTTCGGGTTCTTTGGTGTCGTTATAATATGTGGGTAGGTCAAGTAGATTTCCCATAATTTATCTTCCATTATATCCGTGCACAGAGGTTGGTTGGTGTATCACGGGCCTTAGAGGGGCTCGGTAATTTGGTGACAATTGCTACTTAAGGAAATCCAGGCTGGCCTAGGGAGCGGCTGGAATGTTGACTTTTGCTATGAGTACTGAGTTGCGGTTGCTAGTCGAATTGAAGATCCTCTAACTGGTTGAGATTCATGTTGCTCGAGATTTGTTTGTCTGCCATACTCGCTGCCCCCAACGAATCTAGATTTGACACCTTATTCAGCTGGAAACATAGTAAGTTTATTCCTTTTCCCACTTTAGACTGTCTTTAAATGTGTAGAAGTGGTAGTCTGGTATATTTAAAGCACACTAAGTTTCCAACGAATCTTGATTTGGCACCTTATTCAGCTGGAAACAGAGTAAGTTTATTGACCTTTTCCCACTTTAGACTGTCTTTAAATGTGTAGTAGTGGTAGGCTGATATTTTTAACTTTTATGGTAATCAAGGGGCTCTCAAATATAGTCTGTATGTGATTGTTGTTCACCATGGGTCTACACTGGAAGATGGTCACTACTCACTACACTTGTTATTTAAAATTACTCATCAACTGGTACTCTATCAACGACGAGAAGGTAAGAACAATTTAAAAGCTATAACTATTTATGCATACCTTTTGAATTTAATTTTGACTTTTATCTTTAGGTGATTGTTTGGGAGGAGGAAACTATTTTACGTGTAAAATGCTTACCTTTTATTCTATGAAAGAGATGAGCCCGTGGCAGTAGAAGCAACATGGAAATATACAGATGTTCATATTTTGAGATTGCAAAAGGTCTTGCTATGATGTTGGCATTCGATTAGCTGTGAAAGATTGGTGGATAGAATGAGGAGGAATGTAGAAATGAACTGGAAAAACATCTGCAGAAGCATTCTTTATCTGGGTGAAGAATGCTCAGTTAGAGAATGGAACTTTATTTTTAGAGAATCGAATAGTATTGCTCATCTTTTAGCTCATTCATGTATTGATGTTAATAGTGTAGTTATCTGGGAGGTCAATCTACCAACTTGTATTGTTGATGTTGTGCCCCCATGAGCTCACTTTGATTGATTCCAATGAAAGCACACATCAGTTTCCCCTAAAAAAATGTTCTAATGGAAATTTTATCCTTTCACTAGCAAATAAAAAATTTAAATGTTTTCTACGTCATCCTTTAGCTGAGATGAATAATCATGACGAAGCAGAGATAACTAACAAGCAAAATGAATGAAAAGGATAAGAGTTGACAGATTTAAATCAAAATAAAAGAAAAATAAATGCCATATTTCTTGGAGCATTTGTTAGTTATAATGATTGGTTGAATATGCTCCTTCAAGAAGTGGATGGTCTCTTGGCTCTGGGTGGACAGTTTTGTGTGCGATTTGTAGGTCGGAGGAACAATAGGGTAGCCCATTTGGTGGCTAGAAAGGCCCTCGCTTTGTACCCGTCTACGTGTCGCTTCTTTGATTTTCTGGTCTGGCTTCGCTCCAGGGTGTAATGATCTTTTTGTCTAATCAATATATGATGATCTTTTGTTAAAAAAAAAAAATGAATATGTTTGGTCCTTTTACTAACTGTATTGTTCTTTCTTATAGCTACTGCATATCAACCTCGAAAGTTTGAAGAGAAAATGAAGAATATAAGGGAGGTCCACCTTGAAGGCGTAGGTTTACCTCGTTAAACTCTAGAAACTCAAGATGCTGGCGGTACTTGGCTAGAGAATGTTCGGGCCGATGATCTCTCGTGGAAGCTCCAACCCATCTAGCACCATAAACCAATTTCCTTAGTCGCTCTTGGGGAGCCCAACGGCTGGCAGGGCAGACCGGAGAAAAAGTTTGAAGGTGCTCCCAAACCCAGAGTTGAAGGATGAACATGACAACACCCGCTTGTTTTGTTTTAGGGTCCGTAAACTTGCATAACTCCGAATATACCATCGCCAAAACTGCACATCCCCAACTCTTGCTCCCAATCTCGTCCCAATCTCTCTATAGCAGTCGGAGCCACATATAATGCATATTTCCACCTGACTTGTTTGGAAACAAATAACCTCCAACCAAAGATAGAAGGTATATACGAGCATACCTCTCAATCTGAGCGTCTGGGCATCTGTCGCCAATGAGCCAAACTGAAATTGTCCCACTAGCAAAGGAATGGAGAGCACAAACTTGTCTAGCGATGGTAATGAACGACCTTGTGGTGCTTCCTGGGGGGACGTTGATGCCTAAATACTCGCTTATGAACGAGCCCCAACCATTCAATGGTCTCATTGCACCCTCTATTACGACATCACCATTGATTGGCAGTTCCTAGCACGATGACGTCCTTCAACGTAATCGTCATCTCTCCCTACAGAAGGTGGAATGTGTTTGTTTCTTTTCTCCACCTTTCTACCATTATCGTAAGGAGGTTGTTGTACATCTCATCCCACGAAGACTGGCGCCCTCTCCAATCCCGTTATTGCAATGAAGGGCTCAATCCGATCATCCCATATAGGCAAGAGGGATAACGGTCGATGGGTGATGACATCAAATTGTTCCTGTAATGAAGAAATTATTATATGAAAAAATTAAAAGAATAATATCGCATTTAAAAAAGACAAGGTAACGAAGAAATGTTTACCGACTTTGTGCGCAAACACTTTAAGACTTATGGTAAGGTTGCTCATCCAACAAGTCATTTTGTCGCGGTGATTCTCAATAGCATAACAGTTGCTCCTCTTAAAAGTCTCAAGAACATAACTGCTGCTCTATCTCAAAATCTCAAACAGCAACGGACTGATGCTAGTGACTAAAAATCTTTAAAAACTATTTCACCTTGTGAAGTACTTCTTAAAAAAAACAAAAAAAACTTGTTTCTTAATTTTCAAATTACTTGTAAATAAAATGTAATATAACATCTAACTCAATATTATAACTCAAATAAAGCACACTTTAACAAACACGACATAAATCAAACATTGCACATACTCCACATAAAACAAATACTTAAAGCATGTAAGGCAAATACTTGAAAATACGTATGGCAAATACTTGAAAATACGTAAGGTATAGAATTTACCCCTTTACACTAACCTGTTAGTGTGTTGGTTGGAGAAGGAGTGTTGGTTGGAGAAGGGAGTAAACTGATGGAAGTAAATCTACTTCATATTGTTCAATTTTATTCATTGTGGTGAGTTTTTTTTAGTATGAGATGAAGCTCATTAGAGCATCATTAAAATTTTATTTCCAACTTAACTTTATTCACCAATTAAATTAAACAAGGCTCAGTCAAAGAATTTTTAACTATCAACCTAAAGCAATTAGTTATTGAGTCAAGGTCTTTGGTGATGAACTTAGATAGTGATTTCATGCGCTCCCAAAGAAAAATCGTCTATAGTTAATGTCATGGGACATGCTGAATTCCAATTTATTAGGGAAGGACTATATTTCTTTGATGCTAGGGAAGGACTATATTTCTATTGGCACTTTGAAGGAAATTTCGTTTGTTTGATTTTGTCAACAATGCAAACATTGGTCATCATGACTAACAGCGCCCATCAACTCTCAAGTTCATGCCAATTGGACCAGCAAAAATTTATTTTTGTGTAAAAGCACCCATCACGAGGCTTATAAATATGCGTTGTAGATTAAGTGGAAGAGTTTGATATTGGGGAATGAGTTTGAACATTACTTTAAAAAAAGTGTACGCTATACTAGCAAAGAGCAAAAGCCTACAATATATCGTGTGTAAAATAAATCGATGGACATCTTAATTTCGGCATTCGATTATATTTTTCATTTGTCCTATAATTTATTCGCATTTCTTGTTTTCTTCTCAACAATCAACCAAACAATTCCAATAATAAAAGCACTCATGATGATTGATCGTGATCATCATGATTTTTGACAATATATATTCGATTGTAATACTTAAAAGTAAAAATCCATATGGGTGATATTATTATCCAATCGAGCAGAAAGGGGTGGTGTGTGCATGAAACCGTAAGAGTGGTGGCTTCCACTTTGATCAACTCTCAACTTTACAACCTTTTTTGATTGGTCCAATCCGTTATCTCCAATTCAATTATGGTGCTCACAGAATGTCGGTAAGTATATTTTGGAAAAACTGATGGATTCCCTACTTCACAACACTTGTTTGTTCAATATCCATAAGTTAATGGATGTCTTTGCTCCAAATAAAACTCCATGATTGTAAAATGATCACAACTTAGAAGTGAAGGATTCATCTGACCTTTTAGCCATACAAATTCCAAGCTCCAGTGACTTTCGTCATTCAAACATTAAACAATTAGCAAAGAGCACCATTGGAGACTTTTCCAACGCGCGGATTGAAGCCAAGTCTTCTGCGAATTGCAGCTATAAAGAAGACCCATTCTCTTGTCCATCAAATCAAATAACATCAGAAGAAGCTTTTGTGGTATATAAAAAGACTTCTCATACCACACCCCATTTTGCATGCTTCAACACAATTTTTTTCACTCATCACTTACCAATTCTGACCTTGACCCACATCAATGGATTCATCTTGGCTTAAAGGGTTGCTCTCCATTTTCTCGGAAACCTTCAAAACCATCCCCAAAAATCCCACCTTGATCACATGGGTCGCCATTGCCATCCTCGTCTTCAACTCCTTGATCTACTTCGTAGGCCTTTGCTTCCTCAGGCTATTGGTCAACTCCTTCCAGAGCATGGCCGCCGACCCTACCAACCTCGACAAAATCTTTAGCTCCTTGGCTTCCATCATCACCTACGAGCTAATCATGGCGCTCATCATCTCACTCTCGTCCCTCTTCGTAGCTTCGTCTACAATCTTTGCTTCAGCCATGGTGATCGGAGGAAAACCCACCACGACAGTCAAAGGCGTGTTTTCGAGGGTAATAAGGTCTTGGAAAGGACCTTCGGTGACTTGGGTTTACATGACCCTTTTCCTATTGGGATACATGTGTATATTGTTTGCGATTATGTACCCTTTCACCCTTATGTTCATGTCTAGCCTACGAGTTTTGTCGGTCACAATGTACATTTTTGTGGGTTTGGGGTCGGTTTTGGGGTCTTACTTGCTAGTGGATTTGAGTTTGGGCATGGTTGGCTCGGTCGTGGAGCAAGGGATCTATGGCCTCGAAGCGATTGGGAAGGCGGCTAGGATTGCCAAAGGGATGAAGCTACATGGGTTCGTTGTGAATCTGGTGTTTGGATTGGTGGGTTGGGGTTTCATGAAGTGTTTGGCCTTGGTTGGAGTCCGGTTGCCCGGGGCCGGTCAAGTGGTTTCTCCAACCGGTTTGGCTGGTCTCGGGTGGCCAACTGCCGGCCAGATCGTCGTGGGTTTGGTTGTGGCCAACTGCTTTTGTTTGTTGAAGATGTTGTGGTGGGTGGCTTATAGTGTTATGTTCTATGAGGGTATGAAGAGACATGGTGAAGAGGTTGTTCAGTTGGATGAGGATGTGGAGTACACTAAAGTTCCAACTCGATCAATGGTCTAATGTTAGTTTGTTTCATTGTTTGTGTGTCTAATATAAGTTGAGAGTATTTTGGAGATAGTAAATGTAAGTTATAGTTTCATTTGGCCAAGAAATGCTAGTTTGAGAAGTTGTATGCAACATCTTTCATTGAGGAAATAAGAAAGTTTGATGATTGTATGGGTTGTTGAATGTATTGATTTAAAATATTTGCAGATTCTAGTTACGCACTAAATGTAATTATAGTCATAAAATTTGTCAAGAAAATTTATACAAATTGGGTCTTTATGGATAAATATTTCTCAATATGGTTTCTTTTAATGAAAAGTTTTTTTTTATAAGGGTGATATAGGTTTCATTTAAGGTATTACTCAATGGAAAGTTTTCCCTTTAACTTGAGCGAAAAAGGGTGTTGAGACATAATATGCTATTCGTAAAAAAAAAAAAAAAAGACATAACATGCCAAAAGGTTTGTGCTTGAATAGAAATTGATATCATTTTTATCAGTTTCAACATTAGCTAAGGATAAACAAATCTCACGAAGAGAACCTCTTTCCCCTAATCATGACATGGTGTTTACAATCTCAAACTAGAAACCCTCCCTGAATTTTGAGGAATGTTTACGAATTAGGATCTTACAAGTATGATTTTACCTTTATCCATTTGACCAAGTTGATTGTCATATAATCACTGCAATTATATCAATTATCAATTATCGTTATTACAAGTGATCCAACAAAACATCTATACTTTCATACTAAAAGTCGAGGTTAAATTTGTAACGATATGATACAAACTACGAGAAAGTTCATTGTCCTATTTGTGGACAAATGGGCTTGTTTTGGGTCAAAGAAGTTTCTAACTTTCTGTTGCTGAGGTCCAATCCAATATCAAACAGTCGGCCCAACCCTTTAGGCTCCTTTTGGCAAGTCATTTCCCCCTTTTCTCCCCGAAAAAGTTAAACTGCTAACAGGGGAACTTGTTAGCATATACTGACATGGTGGAGATGATAGCCACGTCGGCCCACAAGTGATCCAAGGGAGGAGGGTTGAAGGCTTGTAATGGCTCACTTAAGTGAGCTGATCTTGGACTTGGAGATGAGTCGGCCCAGCCGCAAAACTGAAAAGGTGGCTTTGGCCCCACCATAATTTGGGCGGGATTGGGAAAGGAATGAAAAGTGGCGCTGGGTCCACCACTTTTCTATTTCTCAACACCTTTTTTTTTTCTTTTTTTATTTCTCACTTGTGTGGTTACAATGAATATTTCTTTTGGCTATAGAGGATATTTATTGCTAAATGGTTGGATATTAATTTGTGATATTTATCTATGCTTGTTTGTGTAGATATTTATCTGTTTTTCAGTATGAATATTTATTTTTTCATGAACTGATATTATATGCAATGAATATTAGTTTGTGATGTAATGGATATTGTGTATTCCATCAAAACTAACACACTATCAAGTCCTAACACGTAAGGCTTGCAACCTTAGTTAGGGCTGCCCGCCGAGGGCCCATGGGCCGAAGGCGGAATATTGTTTCTTACATCAAATTAAACACACTAGGAAATTAAACACACTAGGAAGTCCTAACACGTAAGGCTTGCAACCTTAGTTAGGGCTGCCCGCCGAGGGCCCATGGGCCGAAGGCCCATTAAATAATAATAGTTTTATGGTTTAGAGTTTGTGTTACGGTTTTATGTTAAGGGTTTAGGGTATAGCTTAGGTTTGAGTTGATATTAGTTCATGTTTTCGAAATTTTCTTGGACTTTTGGATATTCTAATAGGGTTAAGGATTTAGTTTTTAGCGATTAGGGTTTCGGGTTTAGAAGGCAATATTGTGAAAATGGTTTTGAACACAATGTAGGGTAGTCGATTTTTGTCTGTGGTGATAAAATATTATTATGTGATCGGGGGATATTAGTTGGCGATGTGTGGATATTTTGGCTGTGTAGCAGGATATTAGTTTGTAACCGATGGATATTAGTTAGGGTTGGTGAGGATATTTATTATGGGCAAAACGAATATTAGTCTGGGTGTTGCAGATATTTTTTATGGTAGGAATGAATATTAGTCTGGGTGATGTGGAAAATTTTTTATGTAGTACGGATATTGGGGCACTTCTGGTAACTATTCAGATGTGATCCTTTGTTTATTTTAGCATCTAGCATCACACACTTAGCCAACCATATTACACCAATTTACGGTTTAGCGGTTAGGATTTAGGGTTAAGGATTTAGTGTTTAGCGATTAGGGTTTAGAGTTTATGTGTAGTTGGTATTAGTCTGCGATGGTCAGATATTAATCTGTGTGAGGTGGGTATTAGTATGTGATGGACAGATATTAATATGTGTATGGTGGGTATTAGTTTGCTAAGGTGAGATAATAGTCTGGGTAGTTTGGATATTTGTTCTGTGTGGATGTTTATCTACTGATTTGTATATGATTACATCAATTTAGGGTTTAGTGTTAGGGTTTTGACTTTAGGGTTTAGAATTAGGGTTTGGAGTTTATGATTTAGGATTTGACTTTGGGGTTGAGGTTTAGAGTTAAGGGTTCAGGGTTCAAGCTTTGTGTTTAGTGTCTACGATTAGGGTTTCAGGTATAGGGTTTGAGTTTTGGTTTCGAGTTTAGAAGACAATATTGTGGAAATGATTTTGAACACAATGTAGGGTGATCAATTTTAGTGTGTGGTGATAAGATATTATTATGTGATTGGAGGATATTAGTTCATGATGTGTTGATATTTTTGCTGTGTAGCCGGATATTAGGCTAAGACATCCATATATTAATCTGTGTGTGGTGGGTATTAGTCTGTATGGTGAAGATATTGATTACGGGCTGACTCGATATTGGTATTAGGCGGTGGGATATTAGGGCTGCCCGCCGAGGGCCCATAGGCCGAAGGCCTATGAAACAATAATAGTAGGAGAGTGAAGGTTTAGGGTTTATGATTTAGTGATTAGTCTTGTAGTCGGATATTAAATTGTGTGGTGTTTGTATTTGTTTTTGCAAAGAATGTGTATTAGTTTAGGTGGTTCTTATATTAGCTTTGGTTTGAATTGATATTAGTTCATGTTTTCAACTATTTGTCTGGGATGTTTGGATATTTGTTTTCTCATTAACTGATATTAGTCTGTTGATATTAGTTCATTAGCCAATTTAATTACTTTTGGTATTAGTTTGCGATTGTCAGATATTAATCTATGTGTGGCGGGTATTAATCTGCGATGGTCAGATATTAGTCTGTGTGTGGTGGGTATTAGTCATTATAGTTAGGATATTATTTACGATCTGAATGTATATTAGTCTTAGGCGATGGGATATTAGTCCGGGTGTTGTGGATATTTGTTATGGTGAAAGGATATTATTTTGGGTGGTTTGGATTTGCTTTGTGTGAATGTTTACCTATGTTTGTATTGAAATTTAGTTTAATTAGCGATTAAGGTTTAGAGTTTATGTGTAATTGGTATTAGTTTGTGATGTTCAGATATGAATCTATATGTAGTGGGTATTAGTTTTCGGTGATAAGATATTAATCTGTGTGTGGTAGGTATTAGTCTAATACGGTCCGATAATAGTCTGGGTGGTTTGGATCTTTGTTGTATATGCTTATATCAATTTAGGGTTTGGTGTAAGGGTTTAGGATTTAGAATTAGGGTTTACAGTTTAGAGTTTGGAGTTTAGGGGTTAGGATTCGCATTTGGGGTTTAGGGGGTTGGGGTTTAGGGTTTAGGGTTTGGGGTTGAGGTTTAGAGTTTAGGGTTCAAGCTTTGTGTTAGTGTTTAGGGTTAGGGTTTCAGGTACAGGGTTCGAGTTTTGGTTTCAGGTTTAGAAGACGATAATGTGGAAATGGTTTTGAACACAATGTATGGTGGTTCGATTTTTGTCTGTGGTGATAAGATATTATTATGTGATTGGAGGATATTAGTATGAGATGTGTGGATATGTTGGCTGTGTAGTCGGATATTAGTCTAAGACAGTTAGAAATTAGTCTTTGAGCGATGGATATTAGTTTGTGTAGGTGAGGATATTTATTATGTGAGGAACGGATATTGGTATGGGTGGTGTGGATATCATTTTTATTGTGTACGGATATTGGTCTGCTATGGTTTTCTAGTACGCAAAACTAGTGAGAACACTCGATACAATTAGTAGTCAAAGTCATTCCGACATGGCGATTATAACTTTCCAAACAAAAAATAGTACTTAAGAAAATTCTTTGTTCAAGTGTGGGATTGCTGTTCCAAAATGTCGATTTTGGATCTTTTCCCGCCTCGATGATATCTTGACCTCACAGGGATTAAATGTGTTTAATTGATTACTAAATGTGGGTAATTGATTAAATGTGTTTAATTGATGACTAAAGGGAAAAACAAACCGATGAATCGTGAAGAGGCAAAGAGATTGAGGATATTAGTCTGGGCTTTCAGGATATACTTTGGCAAACAAAAAGTATTAGTCTGAGCTTTAAGGATATTATTCTACATAAAGACGGATATTTTTCTCGGAGGCTACGGTATATTTTTGAATAAGAATTTATGTTGGTAATTATATCCAACATTTGACAAAATATTATCCATCTTGCTACAAACCAACATCCTTCCCTAAATATTATCTAACCCTAAGTTCAGTTTTACAAACCAATATCACACTACACAATTCTAAAATAAACTTTTCTTCCTTTTCCCTCATCGTCTTGGTCATCACTTTCTTCATCCTCAATTTCTTGGTCCTCATTTTGTTGTTGTTGTTTGGCACATTTAGGCCTAAAGGTTTCGCCTTCTGATGTGGTCCTCATTGCAGTTGATTTAGTTCTTGTCATTGCAGCTGGACTTCACATAACGAATACCCCAACCATCAGAAGTAATATCAAACAAGTCATATCTAAATATATCAAGCAACTATCCAGGCAATTCACAAATGATATCGTGGTCGACCAAAACCAATGTCAATGTAGGAATATCCAGATATATCAAACAACTATCCAGGCAATTAAAAACTGATATCCTACCCGAACAGAACTAATATCGGAACGCACACAAAACATATCCAAAAAACAAAGCAACCCAGATCCAATCAAATCCACAAAATCCACAAACAAAGCAACCCAGACCCAGATCCAGTCACATCGACAAACCCAGAAAACATATCCACATAATCCAAATATATCAAACAACTATCTAGGCAAATCACAAATGATATCATGGTCGACCAAAACCAATATCAATGTAGGAATATCCAGATATATCAAACAACTATCCAGGCAATTTAAAACTGATATCCTGCCCGAACATAACTAATATCGGAACGCACACAAAACATATCCACAAAACCCAGAAAACAAAGCAACCCAGATCTAATCAAATCCACAAAATCCACAAACAAAGCAACCCAGACCTAGATCCAGTCACATCCACAAACCCAGAAAACATATCCACATAATCCAGAAAACACATCCACAAACCCAGAACGCACACAAAACATATCCACAAAACCCAGAAAACAAAGCAACCCAGATCTAATCAAATCCACAAAATCCACAAACAAAGCAACCCAGACCTAGATCCAGTCACATCCACAAACCCAGAAAACATATCAACATAATCCAGAAAACACATCCACAAACCCAGAAAACATATCCACATAATCCAGAAAACACATCCACAAACCCAGAAAACATATCCACATAATCCACAAAAGAAAGCAACCCAGATCCAGTTAAATCTAAGTTACCAGAAAACAAATCCATCAAACTCATACAAAAAACGCAGAAAAAGAAAAACCCAGATCTAGTTGAATCCATGAAACCCTAACTTCAAACACTACTTATTTCTTTGAAACACAAAATCAGAATCCAAGAAACAAAATCAAAAGAAAAATAGAACAATCTTCAGAAACTCGATTGAATCACAATAAGCAAGGTGAAGAATAAACTAGAGAGAGAGAGAGAGAGAGAGAGAGAGAGAGAGAGGACACGATTACCGTCGTCTTCTTCCTTCAAGCACAGCCACCGTGGCCGACAACTTCTTCCTTGTCGCGATGCCGTCGTCGCCGTCGTTTTCACAGTCGCCGTCGTCTGCTTCGTTAGAGTCGGAGAGTGGTTCTGGTGATTATTGGGAGAAAAGGGGAGGAGGAAACAAAAAAGTTTTTGAGGAGAGAGAATGAAAACTGACGAAGTGATTTGAAGAGAGAAGGAGACTAAGAAAAGGCAGTCATTTTTTTGAATTTGTGGGCCCCTTTGGATAGTGGAATTAGGACAGCCGATGGACTCGGCTCTCTTCCTCTCACAAGTCGGCGCCAATCCTCCTCCACCGTCCGATCCGGCTCGACGACGTGGCCATCTATCCTACCCTGTCAGTATCTCCTAATAAAATGGCCTGTTAGGAGCATAACTAGATTGTTTTCTCCCACATCCTCTTCTTTTTTTGCCAATTTTGTGGATAGAACTGAAAGTTGCAGATAAACTGCCACGGAAGCGCGAAAAAGAACCGCCACCGCCGGAGTAGATAGATGGTGGCCTCGTTTTCACCGTCGCCCGTCACCGGAAAACTGCCCCTTTTCTCTTCTCCAGCTTCCTCAGCCGTCTCCGGTCTCTATCTCCCTAGTACCAAGTAAAGTTCGCTACTTGCTGAATAAAGCTCGCAACTTTTTTGCTTTTTAAACGCAGCTTCTAGTGCTCCATTGATAGAATTTAGCGGAGCTAGCTAAGCTAGCCAAACTGAAATTGCGAGATTACTACTGCAGTTATAGTCTAGTCTCTATCTGTGCTTGAACGGCACCTGTTGTTTAGCTAATTTTGGATTTTGTGGTCGAATTCCGTCGGATTGAAGACTTTTTCCACATTGCAAGAGCCAAGACTAAAAGAATTTGGCTTTTTGCTCGTCTTATATACCCTTGTGACTGCATTGGCCATTTTCATCAAGTTTTCCCAATCTTCATGATAGTTTCGGTTTCTGAAATTGGTATCGAATTCGCCTGAATGGATCTCGTCTTCAACGCTATGGTTGTAGCAGCTTGATGTAGCACACTTTTGGAATAATGAACTTGGATTTGCATCATTTGAATGGAGGATTTCTTACACTATGCTGTGCCTATTCTGTTTGTATCCATATTCTGATTGGGCGGGTTAATAACTTTTCAGGTGGGGCTTCGGGGTCGAGCCTGATGTCAGCTCTGGAGTTAGTCGAACAAAGGGTCGAGCTTTTCGAATCTCTGCAACTGCCAATGTATGGATCCTCTCGAGTCTGATCCTAAGTGATTTCAGAACATACTTGCATCTGCAATGCACTTATAAAACCCTTCTCCAATTTATGCAATCAAGCAGTCGCTTGTAGATTAGGGAATGTAGTCTCGTAACCAAATATTAGATTAACAGATTTGGCTCTGGATCGCCATTACTTAGTATGTTGTGGCATTTCCTCAATCGACAGGGTCGATTGAATGTCTAGGATAGTGGATCAGCTGCTTTCCATTCTGTAGTTCAGCAAACATTTTGTGTGATAGCTCTATAGGCCTGTACTCCCTTCGACTCATCGGAGCTTAATTTTCGCAAATAAAGCTCAGAAACTACATTGTAGATTTGTTAACAAAATTCCCACTATCCTTTATACAGGCATCAGGAAGTTTGAAAAAAGTGGTGATCATGGTTGATCCAGCCGAAGCAAAGCGATTAGCTGCAAAGCAAATGGTAGAAATTCGAAGGAAAGAGAGACTCAAGGTGATTGTTGATAATTGACTATAACTGGTTAGTGGTTACCATGCTGCAGCATGTTTACCCTTTAACTGATTACTCTTTGTGATTCTCTAATCTCGGTAGAGAACGCGTGAAATCGAGGCAATCAATGGAGCATGGGCGATGATAGGTCTCACAGCAGGTTTGCTCATTGAAGGTTACTCTGGAAAGACCATGATAGAACAGGTCAGTCATTATTATTCATGCTTTAATCCTTACACTATCTGGATTTGACTCTCTTAACTTGACTGAGTTGTTTCTCCCTTCAGTTGGCTGGATACCTGTATGCCATCTTCCATATTTTCATACGATAGTTGTCGAAGTACTTGTTCGCTATCTCTGCCTGCGAAATTCTGCCACTTCATTACACACCTGGAAACTGTATAATCTTTTCCCCCAGTGTTTACTAGCATTGTACCATTCATAACTGGCAAATTTAACATTTCCTCAGAACTTGGTGGGGGATCATGTTTCCTTTTTCTGATACCTTGCTTGTGGTGAGTTATGAATGGTCCCAGAAGTGAACTTTTCAACACCTCAAAAGCTAGCTGTCTAATGCCATAAAGGAAAAAACAACATAAAAGGGAAGGTAAATAAGGTTGGCAAGTTGCTGTTTTGAGAATCATGATGGAACCAGGGTAGAAGATTTTTTGCAGGGTGAAATGTCTAAATGGTCACTGGACTAGGGATTTGTAACAAAATATTAACATGCTCCTTGATTTGTAACAAAATGGTCATTCCGTTTTAAGTTTTTCGAACTCTGTTGTTAATGAGGTGAGTGAGCCTGCCAACTAGACTTATCACGTAGTCTGGCAGACGTTATCATCAACTTAAAACCACCAAACCGTTCGTTTTGCGCTCATATTTGCTAGGTGCCTATAGTATCGATTCTTAAGTCATCCGTGGGTAAGAAAACATGTGAACTTATTCGATCAGTTCATTAGAGTGATCTACCCACGAAGTCTGCAGCACTCCACGAAATGATCTCGTGACAGCATCCTAGAACGAATCAGAGCAACGAATCCATTCGACCTAGAACCGATCCTTCAATCATTAACATCTGACATTCACACCCGTCCCCAGATTCGACGCCAACCAAACATGAATTGGAGTCTGGAGAAGGTGCCTGCAAGTCAGCGGCAAACAAGTGAAAGGGAAGGGGTAGAAAAAGCTGTGAATGCTGCAGAAAAAAGGTAACACGGTTTACTACCCAAGTTGGCCGGCAAATATTGCTGGCATGCATGGCTGGCTGTCCTCCTGGTTCTAGGGTTTGGTTTGGTTTGTGGATAATAATTAGTCTCGTGACAATATTTGTGTTAGGTTGACAGGTTGGACTTGGACACAGTTATTAAGATCCAAAGTCCAGACCTTTCTTTCTTTCTTTTGCCAGTACATAGCTTCCATTGGATACGCAATCTAGTCTCGATTGGATAACAATGGAAAAACCTAACGTTGATCGTTTTATCAAAGTAGGGGGTAAATTTTGAAATTGGCATAGGTTGGTCTAATTGGTTCGACCAATATCGAATCAAACCGAGATATTTAGATGGAACTATACCTGGTTGATGTTTAAAGTATGGGATCAAATTTGAAATGGCCATGGGTTGGTCTGGTTGGTTGGTTCGATCCACGATCGAATCAGGCGGAGATATATTTAGAGGGAACTAGACATGATTGAAAATGCTTAATGTTGGTGTGTTCAAGATCATCAACATCTTTTTATATTACCTCTCCCTTTAAGTTTCCTGTGTGATCTTATCTATCAATGGTTCGACTCCAACCAAACCAAATTGATTATCTTTGTGCTTTTTTTATATAATGGATTATCTTTGTGCTTAACTATCAACATAAGAGTTATTTGGATCCGACACATAATAATTCTCGATTTTAAGACCTTCGTATCCTGTCTCAACCAATTCATCAAATTAATGCGAATATCAAAAAATCAGATCTTGCTTTCATTTTCAAATCATTTCATGGATAAAAACGTGAACCCATACTGGTGAATCAGGGAGAATGGCTTCTCTATAGCTTTACAATCGGAAGAATCTCAACACAACCAAACATTATCCACTTAGGAATTTTTGGCATAATTCCTTTGGCACCTTTTCCTTCTTTCCCCCTCTTTCTCCCAACAACAACAAGAAGAAGAAGAAGAAAAGAAGTCAAACAAAAGAGGGTGGTGGCTGTTGGTAAAGGCCTAATATTCGCTTATATCAGCAAACATTTGACCATCTAGTAGGGCACAACAGCAGCAACCAATTATCGTTATTGTTGGCTCTTGTTATTATGTGGGAGAATTGTACAAAAGGGGGAAAACCCTAATTTTGGGGAATCATAATCAAAGCCATGTTCATGGGTTGGTGCCAACTTTGGTGGCAGCAGCAGCAGCCGACAATGCATGCCTGCCAGTTGCTACTCCAGCAGGCCACAAAGACTCTCTTCAAGTAGAGCCCTAAATTCAATGGGGGAAAAAGGGTGGAAAAGTATTTCTACGAATTGGTCAAAAGTTGACAACTCTTGCTCTTCAAAAAGTTCAAACCTAATATCCTTATCTGGAGGAGATAAGTACTATGGCTACTGGTTTGGAGAAAATCTGAATTGAAAGCAGCTTGGTTTACTTGTAAGTCTTTTCCTCATCAGAATCTTTGGTGAAGTGGTATTTTGGTGTCCGTTTTTTTTTTCATCGAGATATTGTATAAAATGATCTATCGAGTTTTTTTGGTGTTATTTTATACATCTCGATGACTATCATCATTTCACGACAATAGTAAAAGAGTGTGGAGGTTTAACCTAACTAGCTAGCATATTTAACTTGAATCGGGTTATTATCACTCCTCGAATGTTAAATCGGGCAAAGATAGTAATAAGTTTGTGTGCTTAAATTTAACTATTTATTGTAAACAGTACTTATTACAACTTCTTCATATGTACATTGGGAATAACCACCACCCTAATCAGCTCTGTGTGTTATCGATCTACCAAATCTCTCCATTCGTAAAATTACACGAGAATACCTGGTTATTTTGATGCATAAAAACGAAAATCATTCCGCTCCAATATAGTCGAACCTATTACAAGAAACTATGCATAATATGATCATATCGTACGTATACATCTCACCGTTATAAAGAAAATAACCTCGATTGAATGTCCGGCTATTGACATGACTAATACCACCATGAACAAGAAACTTGTAACACACACATATCACTCGAGCGACTTGACTCTTACGTCACTAGTTACAATAGCGCGAAATTACATATAAATCAAACACCATGACATTTGTGTATACACATATAATATGTTCCCTCATCACAAACATTAAAAAAAATAAACACTATTATATATCATCATCTCTCCATCCCAAACTTTTCCTTGTCGTCGATGGCGCCTCATGCCCTAGAATCAAAACATGACCCCTATGAAGAAGATAACGATGGGGAATCAATAATATTATAACAAAAAGGATATATATCATGTGTGAAGATTTCAAGATTTGGTCGATATTGATGTTTTTTCGGCCCAAGATATGTACATAGCCATTCACGTTTTGCCCTAATTAATATTTCATTGGCTATCTTCCCTTCTCTCTCTCTCTAACTAGGGCAAACGTGGCCAAACCAAACTCCATGAAAGATCCAAACTTGTGAAATTGGTCCTCCTCTCCATTTACTACTATTCTTTTGGCTCGATCCAGCCGATGGAGTGGTTTCATGCGTTATCCAGTAAGCAAAATCTTTGGTGGGGTTCATTATTCAATATTCATGCAACTTTTCTTCTTCTTCCTCTTCCAGAGATTGGATTTGGGCAAAACCCAAAATCCGCCCACTTTCTTGAAAGAATATATGTAGAAAAAGACCGTTGTAGCTAGGGCAAGTCAAGAAATGGTTCATGGTTGCGGTGGGAAAGCACTCGAATGTGCCCAAAAATGGGGAGAGGGAGTGGTTGACCACGTAACTTAATTCTCCTCCAATTTTTTTGTGGGTTGCATTTTCTATACGTGAAGGATCGAGGAAAGAATCGGTTTATGGAAATGGATGTATCGAGCTAGGGTTATTTTATTTATTTACACAAAATGGTTATTCAACCAAAGGGTTGGGGTATTTTGAAAGTGACGTTTTTAGCTTATCATGTGTTGATTGAAGTTCGGAACAACTAATGCTATACGATCCTATCAATGTGTGAGATCTCTTGAATTGGTGATAATAAATATATATCACAAGTTTTGTTTTAAGGGGATATTTGAAACATTGGTAATTTATTTCAAGGAAGTATGAGATCAAAATCAGGTGACAAATTATTTGGTTTTGGCAGCTGCTGCGTAAATCTCATCCAGTCCTTAGACGAACATCAAAATCACTCGAGAACTCAACATGCCCGCTTAGAATCACTCTTGTCGGGTGAAAAAAGGTGAGCTCGCACTTGTACCTACTAAAATGAAAAACGAATCTATAAAAAATTATTGTGATTCTGGTTCTCGATCAAACCTAAACTTTGATCGAATACACTTGAAAATCGAAATCCGAAATGAGCATGAATAGTAAATCCGTTATGAAATAAAATGAATTAAATTCCGTATTATTGCTTAGAATTGAACGTTGTGTTTTCACTCTCCAGAAGTACTACTACTACAAAATCCAATACCATACAGTCGTGGTAAAGGACTACACAAAAAAGACCAAGACCAATACTCTTGAGTGCAAAGTGGGCAAATTTAAGAGTTCAAACTTTGATCTAACCTATTCAATTACGCACGAAACTTCTCCCCAATGACAAATACAATACAAGTGTACAAAGAACCGTCACCATCCTCGAAAAGTAGTAGTACAATAGCAGTAAGTAGTCTTGTTGGAAACGTTAGCTTGTAGAATTGCACTTCTTCTTCAATTGCAATGCTGCAAAAATTTGTGGTATTTATGATTTTGTGGGTTTCGTCAATACAGAGGATAGCTATATCAGTGTGGCATGTTTGACAAGTTGGGCAATGGCTCCCTCTTGTCAGGCAGCATTTTGAGGATAAAATTACATTATCCAAACTGCCCATTGCATGTCTATTTCAACAATTCTCGATCATGGACCGTTTCTTTTTCTATCCTTTCTACAAATTGTTTGTTGTTATGAAAATATTATTATTATTATGGATGACCAACATTAGATGCTCCATGGTATGTTACAAGTTCTATGTAACTCATCTCCTTATATTTATTCTCCATATGACACATTAGTTGCACAATTGGGTGTTACATGTAACCCCCCACCCCATTTCTATTTCACATTCATTCTCACATTCATGTATATTGATTGTAAGAATGTAGAGGTTATGTGATGTGTGCCTATAAATAGATGGTCTCCTTGTACTAAGGAACATATGAATAAGAAAGCTCTATTCCCCTTCTCTTCTTGTGTCTCTACTCTTACTCTTGTGTATGTTCCTCTTCCTTGTTATTTCATAACACGTTATCAGCACGAAGCTCTGCCAGAGTCATGGTTGGTAATTGTCTCTTTACATAATCAAAACTTACTTGAGTAAGATCACAACATGATCAAGGTATGCAACTTTTCATGTCGTGTTGTTAGTAAGTTTATCTATCTCGTTGTCTTTGAGATATTTGATCATGTTATTTGTTCATATTATTTTATGAACTTATTTTATATATGTCGATCTTGTAACATAGATTTTGTCCTTGGACATTATCAAAAAATGAAAATTGCTCCTGTAGTAGCAAAATCATCATGGGTTGACTTATCGATTGCTACATTGTACATATAGAGAAATGAAAGTCTAAAGATCTCATTTTCCCCGAAGTGGAAAAATGAAGAAAAATATATCATTGGTCTTGAACCCGATCTATAAAAAAAAAGTTTTCTTTGTCCAAGAATCAATGGAAGGAAAATGAAAATCTATATGTGCTCCTGCAGTAGCAATATTATGGAAGAGGGTTATAAACATAAGTTATTTCTTGTTTGTTAAAGGTGAAAAGTGTATTGGACTTGTGATGATGAGAAATATTATATAATTTGATCCAAAGGCTGTTGTTTCATTCCTGGAAGCGTATGAAAACAAACCATTCTTAAAAGTGAATGGATCGAGACACACCATTTATTAATATAATTTGGTGTTTGGATAATGACAATCAGCAAATGTATCTTTTCACCGGAAGTGAAAGATAAAATAATTATAAATGAGGATGATAATTCATGTAGCAAAAGTCATGATCATATACTGTAACCTTCGTATGCCGAAATGTGTTATGAAACACATATATGTTTGTTGTGTTGTTGTTTTTATTATTATTATTTTGTATGTTTTTGTATAGAATGAATATTTGCAAAAGTCAATACTGGTATTATATCATATAGTATGAAAGTAATCAAAAGCTCCGGA